AAAATTGTAACCATCCGCCAAGGCGACCGAGTGAAACTTTCACGAAATAGTTCGTTTTGGTGAAATACTAAACCAATTTAAACATATTAAACGACCATGTAAATTCATGCAATTTTTTCACATGTATCAACGTTTTATTGGCTTTGTTGAAAACTATTTTTAACTACCAAGAGAGTGTTTAAACGAAGTGCGTTCTGATTTTTCGTCCCACTTGCTTTGTAGCCAAAAATGTTTTTTTTAACAAAGTTACTAAAACGTTGATATATGTGAAAAAGTTGCATGAATTTATATCGTTATTTTATTTTCTTAAATTCGGTTTTCTTCTATCGAAAGATATCTATTTTCTTCATGTTTCACAAGTTCCCTCAAAAAGGTTTTCTGCTCTGTGTGTAGTTGTATATTTGAGCCACAGGAGGGCGCATGACAATAATGTAGTCGCGGAAAACCCCTGGAATATCCAGGGAAACCCCGTGTCTTTTACGTCAGCGTCATTTGACGGGCATTACGTCAGTAAATGCTTGTTGGCCGAGCAAAACCGAACAGCACTTTGCTACAGGAGGCTTAAAATTGTAACCATCCGCCAAGACGACCGAGTGAAACTTTCACGAAATAGTACGTTTTGATGAAATACTAAACCAATTTAAACATATTAAATAACGATATAAATTAATGCAAATTTTTTTCACATGTATCAACGTTTTAGTCACTTTGTTAAAAACTATTTTTAACAAAGTGACTAAAACGTTGATACATGTGAAAAAAATTTGCATTAATTTATATCGTTATTTAATATGTTTAAATTGGTTTAGTATTTCACTAAAACGAACTATTTCGTGAAAGTTTCACTCGGTCGTCTTGGCGGATGGTTACAATTTTAAGCCTCCTGTAGCAAAGTGCTGTTCGGTTTTGCTCGGCCAACAAGCATTTACTGACGTAATGCCAGTCAAATGACGTTGACGTAGAAGACACAGAGTTTCCCTGGATATTCCAAGGGTTTCCGCGACTACATTATTGTCATGCGCCCTCCTGTGGCTCAAATATACAACGACACACAGCAAACAACCTTTTGGAAGGAACTTGTTCATATTAGCAGTTGCACCTTTGAGTCATGGATCTTGTTGTTGGCGGAGCTACACCGAACAACCGACCGCATCACCAGACAAGATTTCATCATAAAATGTGTTCCTACGCCAAACTGCCCTTGTGAAACATGAAGAAAATAGATATCTTTCGACAGAAGAAAAGCGAATTTAAGAAAATAAAATAACGATATAAATTCATGCAACTTTTTCACATGTATCAACGTTTTAGTAACTTTGTTAAAAAACTATTTTTGGCTACAAAGCGAGTGTTTAAACGAAGTGCGTTCTGATTTTTCGTCACCAGGTGGCGAGTACCTTAAATGAGCAGGGGAAGGGACATTTAAATGCACGTGTGGCCCTCTGCTGGCAAAAGGGAGCAATTACACCCATCAACGTTCTGGCAGGAAGTTGATTTTATATATGGGGGGCGAGTACTACTAAATGAGCAGGGAAGGGAAATTAAATCTTACTTTACTGTTGCCAAAAGGTCAGTGTCATACAGAAAAAAAAAGTTTTTTTAAGGGTGGACATTTCACAAATTTATGACAAATGATGATGAAAAATATATAATTTATTTTTGAAGGATTAATACAGTTTATCAAGATGCATTTTGCAAAGCAGACCATGCAGTTACGTAGAAAACCAGTAAACAAATCCAGAAATGTTGAGCTGTTCAGTCTTTGAATTTCTTCTGTGTTGGTGCGGCAGTCAGTCTGCCCTCAGCTCTAGCTGTGAACAATTCTGTGCCGTTTCAAATGGTGCATGAGAATAAAAGTTTTCCCACACTGCGTACAGCTGTAGGGCCGCTCACCACTGTGTGCCCGCTGGTGGACCCTCAGGCTGCTCTGCTGCGTGAACCTCTTGCCGCACTGACTGCAGCTGTACGGCTTTTCACCGGTGTGTGTCCGGTGGTGAATGCTGAGATGGGAGGAGCACTGGAAGGTCTTTCCACACACCGCGCACCAGAAGGCTCGCTTTCTCTTGTGGTCATGCTGGTGCATTTTAAACTGGTGCAAGAAGCTGTACGTCTTTCCACACAGGGAGCAGACATACCCCCGTGCTGTGCCAGACTGAGTTTTCTGTTGTGTGGAGGTTTGGTAGCTGCCTGATGTGAAGGTGTTCTGTGACTGAGGTTTTTCTGTAGCTGTGGAGCTCTCAGAGTTTTCACTTGGCTGCCTCAGGTTTGCAACTTGCAACGAGTTTCTCTGCTGAAAAATATGCTGCTCTCTCTGTCTTTCTTGCTGTAGAAGTCCACCCTGAGCTCTGCCCTGGAAAACGGACGACGGTGCAACATCCTTCTGAAAATCACCATTGTATATCCCATTACACTGCCTCTGAGTAGACGATTGTGAGACACTAGCATTTGACTTGCTCTCATTAGAAACCACATTATGGTCTGCATGCTCCGGAAAGGTGTTGGAATATTCATCTACCATACTAGAAAAGTCTGGGAAACCAGCATCAATTTGATTAATTTCCATTATAGATGACCACAGCTGATGTTCTCTGTCATCCATGGAAAACTCTGCACTCAACTGAGTATGCTTTCCAGCACTGTGCTGGCAACCATCTTGGTTAAACCCTGAATGGTTCTCCTCTTTCTCAGTCTTGACAGTGAAATGTTGAACAGTGACATCTACAGGATTTTGACTAGAGTCACACAGGTCTCCAAAGTCTGATGTCTCCTCAAGGTGCTGTCTTTCTGGAGCGTTTCCTGGATTAGCGTACTGCACAGAACCACCTGTGGGGCAGGAGGAGAGAACGGTCATTTTTCTCCACCGTCTAAGCATAATTTATCAAAAGGTATAGTAACTCAAACAAACACTTTAGACTTCTGTGGACTAATGTGTGTTCAAAAGCCTGATATCCAAAGTGTAAGAGTAAGCAGTAAGTATTCATGTAAGTAAGAGGTTTATTATTACAAACTTACCGATTGGACCACTGGTATTTCTGATCCATATCTGTTCATCTGGACTTTCTTCTTTTATTGTGAAGGTAACTGTTGCGTCTTCAATCTCTGAAAACTGTACAAGAGATTTTCAAAACATTGTAGGAGTTTAACCTTTATTATATGAACTGTGTTAAGTCACATTTACACATTTTAATTCTGTTTAGACTGTTGAGAGTCCTTAAAATGAACGTGGTTTACCGATTAGAGAACGTTTTGTTGAGGCTGCTCTCACTGAACGACTCTCGCGAGACAGATACTGTTTATACTCGCTTGGTGAGTCTAGTCTCGCGATACCTTAAGCATCAATTCAGAAATTCATGTATCATGTACAGCCTTTAAATTTAGGAACAATCAGAAGGTCGTTTCAAACGTCATCTTCATACTTTTACAAACATCTACTACATGCTCACTTTGCCAAATAATATTACAGCTATAAATCGAATTAAACGAGTAATAACAACAATACTAACCTTCATGTCTCCTGCGGGATGTGGACAGTTAGTTCTCCCGTCAGTTCCTCGGTTCATGTAATTTTCTGTTTTGGGAAAAAAAAAGACAACGTCAAAAGACGTAGAAATGTGTTATTAAGATGTGCATACTATGAATAACAGTTTCTGTGGCGTTAGGTGTTTTATCAGGAAGCGCTTGTTTTCTTATTAATTCTGTTCCGTCTTTATACTGCCATTGTACAGAGGTTGGTCAGAACAACATATCAGATGGTATTTTTGTTTCGTGTCGCATTTTCTCACCAAATCCCCGCTGAAGCTGCGCATTTCTGCTCTCCGTCGTCAACACTTTCCTCCTCAGCATCTCGATCTCGCTCTGCTTTCTGCTGATCTCCAGATGCAGAAACGCACATTTGTCATCGACCAGTTTGGAGATCTCCATCACCGCTGCCTTCACCAGCACCTCCATGATCGAGGAGAGCTGCGTTTGAAAGGGAACACACGTCGCCATGTTCGTACACGAAGAGATGAAAAATTAAAGTCCTGTCGAGGCTGTGTTTATTTTAATATAAATTTTATTAAAAAGAAAATGCCTTACATCAGTACACCTAGCTATGGCTAACAGAAGCCTTTCTTCCGTGTGGCGAAGTAATTTACCGTAAAAACAACAGTAGAGGCGCGATGGAAAAACAGCAAAACTAGGGAGGCGGTGAGGATCTATTTGGTTCCAATTTATTTAAAAATGCAAAAGACAAACCAAGAGGAAAAAAATGGTAATTACTGAAAAAACACCGACAGATTCCCTCACTGTTTCAACAATACATATCATGTACTTTACTTTATATACAAAATAAAATATGTATAAATTAAAGTTTAAAGACACAACGCAACACAGACAGAGAAACAACAATTTTGACAATGTTAAAAAACAAAACATAAATTAGTCAGGGGCAGAATTCATGTTTTTTCCCTGGTGTAAAAACATAGGCACGTCATGTGTTTCATGGAACGTTTTCAACCCTCGACAGGAAAGGTCCTTGTTCTGTGCAATTAGCTCATCTCAGTCTTTCTGACTCCTGACCTTCTGATGTCAGACCCTCCACATCTGATCCTTGACCATTTGTCAATTTCACAACATAATACTGAAACTTTTTAAAATGTTCTTTTTCTTCTTTGTGGTAACACGTTACAAATAATAACTACGGTTTTTTGGTTTTTTTGGTTTTTTTTTACTTAAATGATACCTGTTGATGGAAGGAAAATGTGTAGGATTAGTGCACAGAAAATAAAACCTGTTTCCGTCAATTCACAGCCTTGAATGTGAACCTGAATGTGGCAGTGAAAAACAAACAGCAACACCTTCTGTTCTATTTTACGGTCGGATCAACTGTTTTGACAACAATTGTGGGGGGGGGTTTCTGTTGGGGAGAAATCCTGAACACTGCTGGTGGTGGTTTCTGCATCATTCCAGCTCTTTAGCCTCAGGCTCTGCCTTCAGCCAGTGATATGTTAAAACTAGGGTTCTCAGAATTAGCACAAATTAATTAATTTGTGAAAATAATCATTAACCTACGGAGCACACCTTAGGAATGTTGATGAATCGTCTTATTTGGTTCAATACTGAGACAAATGCTTTTCATAACACATTTTTGTAAACCAACAATGATTTTCCTACATTGTCAACAATGTTCTGTAAACCAGCAGAGGGCGCATCAATCCACTCAGTGATGCTCTAATCCAGCATTTAATAACCCCACGGTACAACACCAGACAACAATGTCACTAAAGTACATGTAATGAAATATCTTCTATTCCAGTTCAGTTACTCAGAGTGAACCCTGATCCCGTTTGGTTGAACACAGCACTGATATTCTCGCAGGAGTTGAAGAGTCTCTCTTTTTTAACTTTTTGTTTTCAGTCATCTGCTTCCACCTAGTGGAAGGGTATCAGATTGCTCTCCTGTCACGGTCACAGAAAACAAAGACAAATTATTTGCGGTGAATAAATAATCATAGTTTTATACATTTTTAAAACCAATTAATATTAATTTGGATAATTTCACACAGGTGTCGTGATGAAGACACAGTGATCAGAATGTGTGGGCTGCTCAATGAGAAGATGAAGACACAGTGATCAGAATGTGTGGACTGCTCAATGAGAAGCCACCTTCCACCTTCTTTGGTATAAGATTTTACCATCATTTTAGGCTGTACTGCCCACTAATGTTCAGTTTGGACAGATGCAGCCCAAGTTAACGATGTGGCCCACTGCCTGGGTTGTGCAAAGAAAGAACTCCCTTCACTGTGGATGCAGGGCAGAACTGGGTCACAGCCTGTTTCAGGTCAATGATGAGTTACCACACACAAGTAAATGTTGTTTAAAACTGTTTTATAATAGCTGGAAGACACTAAAAGAAAGGAAACAAAAAAAACTAACAACACGTTTGTTTCAAAACTTTGCTCTCATTGTCACGTTTACACTAAGGTCATGTACCAGCTCAGAACTGTTGGTTCTGTGGTGTGGACTGCAGTCTAATATCAGTGTGTTGTTGAGGTTGTTCACTCGATGACGTTCTGACACTGGTGCAGCTGAAACAAACCAAAACTGTCAAAGCTTTGCCCACACGCGGAGCAAATGAAGCTGTTCTGTCTGACGGGATCCGAGCCACAGCGCTCCTCCTGGTTTTCTGAGGAAGTCATAGTGAAATCGAATCCCTCCCGGACCCCGTCGTGAGCGGCTGTGCTGTAGTCATTCACAACCACTTCCTGTTTCAGGTGATGTTCCTGGAAGTCAGCTGTTAGAGTCACGTCTGTGCTCCTCTGCGGCGCCATCATTGAAAACTGACCTCTGTGCAAAACTTCGTCCTGGCTGCCGTCGTTTACAAAAGCCAGATCCTTGACTGGTGATTTACATGGAAACCCCTGCTGCTCATTGGCTGCGGGGGGACTGAGGTGATACTGGACGTCATGTGACATCATATGGACCGTCCGTGCAGCGTTGCCGCCCTCCATCCCAGATGTCCACGGCTCACTTTGGTCTGGAACCACAGTGCCATTGTCAAGCTGCGTCTGGCCCACCAGGGTCTGGAAGTTGGTTCTGTTGGGTTCCACTTTCACCAGAACCGTTTGTTCAGCGTGAGTCTCTCTGCCTGCTAACTGTTCTTCAAAAACCTTCAGCTCAGGCTTCGACTCGGCCAGGCTTTCTAGTTGGTGATCGTCTGACATCGTGAACATCAGGTGATGAGTCTCCAGCACATCTGTATTCTCCCCTTTTCAGAGATGAGAAAGAAAAACAAGTTACATTTTTTCTACCAACAGGAGGCACTGTTACATTCATAACTTCTTAAATTAGATTCTTTCTTGAAGTTGGTTTCATTTTGACAATAATGTAATGTTTCTGTTGAGCCATTCTCATGACAACAGTATTACTTCACATCATTATCGTACCCTAACCACCCCATGGTTAGTGTCGACAGCAGGGAGTCGAATGCAATCAATTGTAGGGCGGAGTATTGGCAACAATACGACGATACGTATCACGATACAGGGGCAATGATACGATATATTGAGATACTATAGGAATGACAATATATTGAGTTTTTCTTCCCCCAGTGTAGCTGTCGTCCCAGTGTGATCCTAGTCTCAGACTCTGTTCCATCTGAACATCAGTTCGTAACACTGGAACAGAGGGATCACTAGAGGAGAAAGAAAAGAAAACTCTTACTCTGTACATGTGTCTTCATGTGGCCCTTCAGGCTACTCTTCTGATTGAAGCATCTCCCGCAGATGTGACATCCATAAGGTTTCTCCCCAGTGTGAATTCGTAAATGCCGTTCCAGGTGGCCCGAGCGCTCGAATATCTTGCCGCAGTACGTGCAGATGAAGCTTTTCTTTGGTTTGAATGTCTGCAGAGGTCGGCCTCTCCTCGGACGCTGGTGGTTCAGCATTCCCTCGGACATTCCGTGCAAACCCGCGTCGCTGGGAATCAAAAGTGTGTCCAAAGATCCGTAGTGGTTTTGGGACATCATGTTGTTGTTGAGCTCTCCATAAGGTTTGCCAGGAAAAGGGTAGGTGCTGCAGGAAGGTTGGACCGTCGGAGAGAGCAACTGCCCTATCCGGGGGTAGGTCACACTCTGGGTTGGGCTGCTGAGATATTCCACACTGTTCATGTCTGTGTTGTTCTGTCCTGGTACTCTGGACATCCAGGGCTGGCTGTCTCTCTTTAAGGCTGTCAAGTTCTCTACGTGGTTGTCAACTCTTTCCTCCTCCTTCCCTGTCATCTGTTCATTTCCTCCAGGGGGCGCTGATTGTGTTACATTCTCCTCCACAGGTTCAGATTTGACCTGTACAGGTGTTGGTGGAATCACGTCGTTGTTCGGCAGGAGTTCTTCCACCTTCTTCTTGTTCTCTTCTTCACAGTGCTTCGTGTCCATGCGCGGAAACGCTTCGAAAATCTTCTTCTCCTCAGCTGCCTGGACCTCCACTGGTCTGGGCTGAAGATCTGTGGACAGAAATAGATATGATAGATGTTTGGAGAAGAACAGAAGCTGGTCTTTGGGCTGCTCCCTGCAGGGGTCAATATGATAGATTCATCTGTCTCCCTCTCCTCCTCCCTCTTTCTCCATCGTGACAAAACTACACTGCAACAAAATATGCTTAAAATCCTGGATTTCAAACCCCCGTCTGTGACTCATGGACGTCCACCAGCCAAGTACGACCAGCTACATCAGCGAGGTGCCGTTCAGCCACTTTCCACGACTTCCTGTCGTGTTATCTTCAGCACATTTTCTGCTGTGGTTACTCAGACTCAATGGTCAGACCGCAGGAATATGAAAAACCAACCGATGACTGCGTTCCTCCTGTGGTATTCCCCTTCCTGCCGCCAACAAAACAAATCCCTTTAGTTACATTCAAAGTTGTGGATCGATCTATGACCGCGGTCCTTTCCTTTGTTAGAACGTTCTACTGACAGTGTTCAGCCTCCAACGTGGAAACCTTGAGCTTCACACCACAGCTCTGCACAGTTCGTACAACTAAAACTGAGGCCTGTGGCACAACGACACTGAGAGGCAGTCAGACCAGTGACACTGAGGAATGTCAGAGAGGAGCCTGAGGAAAAAACCCACCAAGGTTATAATAAAGAATATTCCTCAGGATCGTCCTCAGCTAATCCCAAGCAGCTCCACAGACTCATGTCTATTTTTATTATTATTATTTAAGACTGGGGTAGGCATCGTACTTGGCCTACTTATCTTCATTAAAATGTATTACGTTTATTCATTTATTCATTATGCCTTTTTGGGAAATCCAGTTTTCCTGCTTCTATTTTCTATTCAACTATCAAGCAACAGGACACGACAACAACGACAACAACAACAACGACAACAACAACAAGGACATCATCTGGTCAGAGCGGCTGACGATGGGATTGACCTTTAGTTTCACAAACTTATTTTTATCACCTGTGATTCGACACATTTAATTTTCTAGAGATGTTCTTTGAATTTCATTACATTTTATATGAGAATCCAAAACATTTTGTCTTACTTCTTCGATGGATCTTGGTGTGCTCCTTCAGGCTGCACTTCTGATTGAAGCGTCTCCCGCAAATGTCACACCGGTATGGTTTCTCCCCCGTGTGAATCCTTTTGTGTCTCTCCAGGTGACCGGCACGTTCAAAACATTTGCCGCAGTACGGACAGATGAAGCCCTTCTTAAACATCAGCCTCTTCACCGTCCTCCTGCGCACAGTGTTGTACAGGTTACGGTACTGACTGTTGCCCAGCAGCCCGCGGCTGAACGGACTGGGCTGGAACCCGACGGAGCTGCTGCTGCACGACACAGTGAGAGTGGGATTGATGGAGGATTCTGGGAGACACGTCAGGGAGTTGTGTCGTACGTTTAAAAAGTTTGAGTTGTTGTGTCCCTCCTCGCTTTGCGTTGCGGACCTCCACGGTCCACGGTTGCCCTCATACAGGGCCGCCTCTGCTCCGACCTGATTGGTTGGTCCTCTTAGCTCACTACCTGCATGTTCCACAAGTTCAGGTTTGACTTTGACCACAGGCACTGACAGGCTGCTGTTGTCCTTTATGGCAAATACACGTTCTGGTAAAGTCCTCTGGACCACAGGTCCTTTCTGACCACCTGTGAAAACAATAACAATAGTGAACATCACGCCATCTACTGGCCAAAGAAAAGGAAACACAAACAGTGTAAAAGGTGACAAATCAGCATCACCTAAAGTCGTGACCTATCCTCATCCCCTCAGCTAAAGTCACACAGTACCATTGAGTGACTGTGGTGTCAAATCAGGTACATGTACCACAAATAAAACCCAACAGTTCCAGTACTTTCTGTGGACCCCATACACACTACTACACATGTCAAATATTTAGCGTGTTTTACCACAACAACATGTTTATGTCTCAGTTTTAATCAGTATGGAATTTTTGGTTCCTCAAACTTGTGGTGTTTGAGTGAGCGACCCCTGGGGATTAAGATTAGAATTAGGGTTAGATGGGGATTAAAGTTAGGGATTTTACTTGAGGCTGAGGTCGATGAGTGGGAATTTCATTATTAGGTTTTCACAGTTCACAAAGAAAATGTGCAACAGGTACAAGGGCAGTTGTGAAGAGATCTTTGGGGAAAAAAAGAAAAAAAAACTTGTGTGGACATTTTGCAGAAACTCGCCAAGAGAGGATATACTAAGGTTCAGAATTTATTCTGAAATTATGGTTAAATATAGGGTCAGATCAAAGTTGGGCCAACGATTAGGATAAGAATGCATGGTGTCTGTGTATGTTTGTGTTAGAGTGTGTGGTCCACCTCACCCTCCGCTCCGCGGCTCTCGGGTCTCTGGGTCACGGCTCTGTCCTGAGCTGCTCTCAGCTCCGTGTGAAGGACCTCGATGTTGCTCTTCAGCTTCTCGATCTCGTTCTCCCGCTGGCACACCTCCAGCCGCAGCACCACCATGTCGTCCTCCACCACTTTGGAGATCTCCGCCACGGCAGCCTTTGACAGGGCTTCGATGATGGAGGTGATGCGAGTCCGCAGAGCGACGCTGCTCAACATCTTTACGGTGAAGGAAGATCGGCGACAGCAGCAGCCAACTTACAGGAGAGGGGCGGCTGAACTTTAGCCAGTCGCACTCGGGGGAACGGCCGCTGCAGACGAGACTGGAACTCCGTGACAGCGGTCGGTTGATTCTAGGCTGCGACTGGAGCCACAGACCGCAGCTACAGCCGCTAAGTGCGGCTGCTGTTGCGTCAAACGTGCGGCGTTTTCTCAGCTAACTGCAACTAGTCAGTAAGAAGAATGAGCAAAGGTCCTGATTAACGGAAGTGATGACAGTGATACCGTAAAAATTCTAGCAGAGCGCAGCGGATTTATTTAAGGCACTTCCGGGGTTAACGTTCCACAAATATCTTACATAAAATATAATTTGTGATGTGAAGCATCATCTGATTAATATTATTATTTTATTAAAAAGCCTCAACCTAAAACTCACAGAGACGTTTCTTCACATTATTCACACATGTATTTACTTTAGTAACTTCAGTTTATTTACGGTAGACTGATTTAAAGTCCTTATAATCCAACATGGCGGCCTGTATAGTGTTAATGATGTGAAGGGTTTACTATGAATATATAATTATACACTCCAATCTTTATAAAGACTTATATTAATTGTTATAATAGAAAATGTTGTAGAAAGTCGTCCCTAATTATAGAATAAATTATTTTCTGCCTTGATTTGACTTTTTTAAGTCTTAAATTATAATAAACATTTAAGATTTTCCTTAACTTTTGATACAGATGCTCCGCAGTAAACTTGTACATCAGGGGATGGCAAATAAATTGAAATATCAACCTACAAGAACGTCAACTAACACCACATTATCAATGTACATTAATCTGCTTAACTCAAAAAATAAGAAGTGAACAAAGTAACTACTAAATTGACAAATAAATACAAATACAAATGCCCATCTTTAATTTAAGCTTTGCAAAACATAAAGTGACATATAAGAATGTACTGTAGTACTGTACTGTAGCACACACATACAGATTTAGAGGCAAATATGGGGGGAAAATAGACTCTGTAATAGACATTGTCAAGCATTAAAAGTGCTTGTAGTTTGTCTTCATTTGTCATTACTACACAAATCCTTTACGTAGACAATAAAGTCTTGTGATAAAAAATTGTCACCCACAAGAAATTACAGAGTTACAGTAATTAGCTGCCAGGGAGCGACATCAGTGGTTGCTTAAATTAGCATCGTTAAGACAAGGTAAGTTTCCCTGAGTGGTTGAAAGCCAACCTAGCGACCCTTCTGAAATTAAAATGTTGGTGTCAGTCCTTTTTGGAACACTAAGGTCAAGTATATTTGCAAAAGTGTCTGACCTGTTTTCTTTACACAGGTCATAGGGTTGAAAAATGACATCCAGGTGACATCCAGTCCAAAATTCCTCGATCGACTTCAAAAAGGCAGGGGCCAGAAGAGAAACTCTGTGTCTGTAAAAGGTTATGATCTCGCCAACAGGGGGCGTTGCACACTGGTCCTAACAGGTCTGGGTGGTTCCCGGAGATCATCTTCCCTGCAGGTGAATCTCTTGATGGATTTTGAGGTTAGCCTGCACCGTGAAGCTCTTCCCACACAGTCCACAGCTGAACGGCTTCTGGCCGGTGTGGAAGCGTTCGTGTCTGATGCAGTTGTCCTGCCGCGAAAACATCTTACCGCAAATTTTACAACTGAATGGTCTCTCTCCCGTGTGCACACTTTGGTGCGATTTCAGCCGGGTTTTCTGGGTAAACATCTTCCCACACTCGAGGCACCTGAAGGGCTTGGAGATCTGGTGCACTGCTCTGTGCTCCTCCAGCTGAGACACACGAGGAAAGCTCTTGTTGCACACAGAACAGGTGAAGAATTTCTGGTTCACTTTACATGCAGACATCACCCGCTTCACTCTCAGGTTGTTCATGCCGTCTGCAGTGACTGTGGTAGATCTGTGGGTCTGGGGTAAAGCCGTTGACAGCCTAGTATGTTGGAGAAATGATGGTGAGTATTGACTCTCACTGACTACAGGCTGTGAAGCATGCCGCTGTGGTTGATTATGTACAGACTCTAAAACGGCACTCAACACGCACACAGGTGGGACCTCGACCTTCACTTTGGGCACACCGAATGAATCGTCTGTGATTTCCAGTGCTGTATTGTTCGGGGAGTGATAAGAATATTCTGTACTTCTGTGGGCGGAAAGCTGCTCAGTGTTAGTGGGGAACATCTGCTGCTGCGTTGGTGCCAAGCCGTCCTCAAACACACCGCAAACAGCTAACGACCAAATGGGTTCATCTGGATCCTTTGGTTCTAACCGAACTGTGGCTGCGGCCGACATGATGTTGTCAGATGTTTCATGGACTTGAAGATCATCCGCTGGTTCACATTTCACCCTGAGCTTCATTCCATCACTCTCTTCTGCCTCTTGTCCACATTTGCTGAGTGAATCAGGACTTGGAACCAGATGTCCTGCAAACTGTTGCTCCTCTACCTTTACATCTGCAAACACAATTCAATTAAATGTTCCGTCTTATCACCAGGAATGCAAATGCAAAGTTAACAAAGGAACAAGACAATGATCAACAGGAACAGTACAAGCCAATGGCTATTTAGTTCACCACATCACCAGAGACTAGTGTCCATGTCTGGTAGAAGGTGGTGATTTTTTTTTCTTCACAAAACTCAACTTGTTAAAGGAACAATTATATTTGCTTTAATTTTGTAAAAAAAACAAAACACATTTTGCTGAACTTCAGTCAAAATGATCTATCCAGGCTTTGACAGCGCAGCCATGTGGAGAAATGTGATACAACATAGAGATTAAGAAAGCAGATTATTTACATGATACCAGTGGTAGAAATAAACTAAACAGATACGGCCAAACATCATACCACTTGAGAAATATTCATTAAAATTAGCTAAAAAATAGCGTCTTTATTCAGCTGTGGATTTAAACACAAACATTTAGAGACAAACGATTTAAAACGATTTATCACATGACTTAAATTATTCACATTGACAACAGTCAAGTTATCTTTAAACCGAATTTGAGAGAAAACGACCAAAAATGACTATGCATTCATATTTTTGTCGCCGGAGGTAAAATTCGATACATATACGACGGTGATTGTTTAATTTAGAAAATGTCTAATGGGGTCTGGGTTGTCAGTGTGAAGTCCTCACCCTGAGTTGAAACCTGTGTTCCCACTGTCATCTGCTCGGTCTTCTTCTCCGCTGCTCGGGTGATGAACGCCTCCTGAGCTTTGCACAGTTCAACCTCCATCATCTTCAAACTTCTCTGCAGCTCCTGGATCTCGTTGTCCTTCTGACGCATCTCCAGACGGAGGACCACACTCCCGTCTTCCACCAGCTTCGTTATCTCAGCCACCGCAGATCTGGCCAACACGTTCATGATGGCTGTGACCTGCGCACCGAACGTGGACGGAAACGACATCCTGCCGAGTGAAACTCAGAACTTCGTTAAAGCCGAAATAAAGTCGTATCTCTCATCTGGAGGTCGTAGAAACGATTCTGATGTTGCTGTTTTTAATGCTGGTCTTCCTCTACTTCTTCTTCATCGGTCCGAGCCTAGCGCCGATTGTAGCACTTATGCCCTCTGTTGGTCACACTACGTTTTGCGTTTTTATTTTGGTCTGCTTCCGGGAAAATTACGGCGCAGGTAAAAACTTTACTGTTGTAATAAACGCGAATCGTCATTCGCCCTGTTAATTCCTAGAAAATCTACCACTAATCATTCGCCCTGTTAATTCCTAGAAAATCGACCACTAATAACAACAACAACAACAACAAATAGTGAAAAAATAAAAGTGATAAAAGTGTCAGAAAATGACATACAACAGACATTTTAAAACATTGCTTTACTTACATCATTAATATGTAAACATTATATATATATAAAATATTGCTTCGAGTTTAAATGTAACCGTTTGACCATTTTGTACATGAACAATATAAAATATTTTCTGTACGATATTGAATGATGTATAGAACCGTTTAACAATCTATATAGCTGCTCTGTTTGCCCTTTACTGCCCTCTAGTGACAAAGTTTTGTGAATTGAACTTAAATGAATTTTGCTGGAAATAAAACACTTCCACATATTTAAACCTGAGGTTTGTACTAAAATATAGAACACCCCCTTGTGTGCGATATGTAGAAATGCAGTTGATATAAAAGTAAAAAGAATATAGAAATGGGGAGGAAGGGTTTCCTCAGGCTTGGTACCAGTACCTGACAGTTGGAAGATGACATGATAAACATTTTACCATGTTATCCTTCTGGGTCGGGTCAAAAACAATGACCCTCTGGAACCAGGACAGAGAGATCAGTTCTGGTTCTCAGTGTTCATGCTCAGACAGTGAAAACGTTCTCAGTGTTCATGCTCAGACAGTGACTTCTAGACATTAGGTTTTGTCAAGTTCTCACCTTATGTCACGAGTTTTCCCTGAGTGCCGTGGTTTCCTACCACATTCCTAAACATGTAGGTTGGAAATGAGGAGTTCTTGGAGGTTCTTAATTGACTGAAGAATGTTTCTTGTATCGACACGTAGCCTGCAGTGGACAGGTGACCCGTGTCGCCCTGTTTCCTTCTACATTTGCTGAATTCTGCAGCAGCTTCACTTCTCAAGAGGAAAAAGCTGACGAAGAAGAAATAAAATAATAATAAAAAACTGACCAGACCTCACTTCCCCTCCCTCTTCTCTTTCTCACACTCTCTCTCTTTTTCCCTCCTCATGGTTGCTATAGCTACGGCCTCGTCAAAACACATGCTGAGTGGACTGTTTTTCCTTGCGACTTCCTCTCGTCTCTCACTCCTCCTCCTCCAATCCCTCTCACCTCCATCTTTTTCCTGTTCTTCTGCACACCAGACCTTGTCTTGCTCCAGCAGGGTTTGCCTACAGGCTCCATCTTTGTGCTGTGGCTGCGGCTGCTGCTGCGGCTGTGGCTGCTGCTGCTGCCAGATGGTCAGGGCGGTGAATTTGCAGTGTTTAGGTTTGGGAGGAACCACCGGCACTGCCTTCACCTGATAAATCTTTGGGTTTTTGGAGATGACCAGCATCCTGCCAACCCCTCTGCCTGACAGAGTGTCTCTGTCCACACTCTGTGGTTTCAAACCGTCAAACTCCAGCTCTTTTACTTGCTTGTATTCAACTTGTGGTTTATTTAGCAGCTCATCAGCGCCACCATAAGCGTTGCTCTTGTTTTCCGCGGCGTCTTCTCTGTCATGACGCGTTGTTTCTTCATTGACTGTTTTCTTCTCCAGTTGTATTTCTGGTAGACCAACCTTCTTTTTCTGTCCCTCTGAACTTGCGTTGGTGTCTCCAGTCGTATCCATCGGTTCTGTCTCTACATCTTCTCTAACTTCTGTCTCTGTTGCTCCTCTCCCTCCTCCCCCTTCCACTCCCTCTTGCCGTGTTATTCCCTCTAAATCCTCAACTTCCTTCTCGTCCCTCTCCTCTGCATTTCCTTCACTCCCCCTCTGGACCATCTCATCTTCTTCATCCTCAATCACCTCACAAACGACATCCTCCAGCTGCTCCCAAATACTACTACTACAAACATCACTCTCCTCCTCTGAGTCTCCTTCCTGCATCCTCTCCTCAAACATCCCTCCTGTGTCTCCTTCTGCAGTTTCTGGGGTGTCTTCATTATCAGTCTGTTTTCCTTTTGTCTCCTCTGCGTCACAGTCCTGACCCCTGGATTCTTCTTCTGTGTGACAAGGTAGATAATCAGGAAGAGGACTGTCAGGCTTCACCTCCTCCTCCTTCACCTCCTCCTCCTCCTTCACCTTCTCCTCCTCATTTCTGATAATGTTAAACTCATCACTGTATGGTTCTGGAAAGTCCATGCAGCAGAATGATGCATCTCCAGCAGACTTCTCTTCAAGTACTTGATTGTTGTCCATGTCGCCGACCTCTTCTTCTTTTATTATGCTGCAATTTCAGAGACATTCAGGAGGTAATTGGACAAGATTTTTCAAAATGTTTTGTTCATTTATCAGGTTCATCAGGTCGTGTGTGTGGTTCTGTGTTTTTCTGCACTTTCTTTGGTAAATGGATGGGACTGTGGTTAAAGTGAAGGGTTAGTTATAGTCTGTGTTAAACTTTATATGACATGATGCGTTTTAAAACCTTTAGAAGGTCAATAACAGGAATGCAGCTGTGAAATGTAATACATATAAATATATCAATAAATAATTATTAATCAGTTGGTTTAGGTTTTAAAATGTCACCTGAATATCTCGAAAATTGTCACTGCATTAATACACACAGAAGAGCAGAGCTTTTATGGATCATACTGTAATAACATGGTACCAGAACAACAGCGCCCCCTGTACTAAAAAGGAAGGGTTTGTTTTTCAACCAGTTAATGAAACTGTTACATCATATCCTTAAAGTTTTTTTTTTTATTTCCAGAACTCATGAACATGTTCTCACCTGATCGCCTGCTCTTCCAGCCCCTCCTCTTCCAGCCCCTCTTCTTCCAGCCCCTCTTCTTCCTGCTCCTCTTCCAGCTCCTCCTCTTCCAGCTCTTCCTTGGGCTCATTGTGGTCTTTTCCCTCTTCTTTATTCTCTGTCGTCTCTGTCTCGACCCGTCCTTCATCATCTTCCTCCTCCTCCATCACTTCTCTTTGCCCCTGATCTCCACCAGTTTGTTCGTTGGAGTGCAGCCTCTCCGACTCTGTCTGCTCACGGAGCCGCAGCTCCTCGACAGTCACTCCGTCCATCCTGTCAACATCCTCATGTCCAAACCTGCCCAGACTGTTGAAGAAGAAATCAGGAGGAAGGCTCTTCATAAACATGCTCTCCTCATCCTCACTGCTGTAGTCGTCACTGTCCTCCTCCCCCTCCTCCTCTTCCTCTGTGCTGGACTCCTCCGGTCCACGGACGGGTGAGGTCATGTAAGGCAGGCTGAGGGACTTGGTGTGTCGGCTGTTCACGTCCAGGCTGAGCGGCCGGTGTGGCTTCAACTGGCTCTGACTCTGCTCCAGAGACTCAGCACCTGGCTGCATGTTCTTCTGAGGATCCACTGGATGATGAAGAACCTCAGCTTGAACCATGACTTCATACTCGTCATCTGAGTGACCAGGAGGTTCCACGGAGAACTCGTTCACCTGAGAGACAGAGACAAATTTGAGTCTGGCACAAATGTACTGTTGGTAGAAGCTGCCTGTAGAGCTCAACTGGAGAGGCTTTTTTTTGTTTGTTTTTTTTGGGGGGGGAGTGGGCACAAACCTGATAGGAGCTGCTGCAGTCCATGTGGTCCAGGAATTCAAAGTTGTCCTGGACGTAGCCAAACAGCTCCTGGTTGTCTCCATCCACTGCTGTGGAGTTGTGAACATCAGTACCATCAAACATGTCCACCTCTCCAGGCTGTGTGGTCACTGCTGGTCCAGGATCAGCTGTGACATTTCCTTTCATGTCTGTGAAGTGGGATTATGGTCACACAGACACACACAAAGAAAAATCACAGTTACAGATGGTAACAAACCGACGAGACAACCTGCCAGAACTCCAGACATAAATAACGGCCTTTCTGACTGTCACAGCCTGAATAACAGTTTCTGTTCTAGTTAATCTGACCTGGTTAATAAGTCATAGGTTTACTAACCCATATAGTCTGTGTTGTATTCATTTTCTTCTTTATCACGTGCAGCATCTTCCTCTTCTGTGTTGGAGCTGCAGCTTTTAGCTCGCTGCTCTTTAGCCCCTGCTCCAACTTCCTCCATCTGCTCCAGATTGTGTCCAGCGTCTTCTCTCTGCACCTCCTCTTCCTCCCTCCTCTCTTCGGGCTTTACTACTTCGTGCTCTTCCACGTGCACACCTCCGTCCATGTCCTTCTCTACTTCCCTTTCTTTCCCGTCTTCTTTCTCCACCTTCTCCCTTCCTGTTCTCCACTCAACCTTTCCTGCTACATCTTTTCCTTCCACCTTGTCTCCTCCATCCTTACACCTGCCTCGGTGGATGACCCTGTCGCTGCCCCCTCCCTGCAGGACTCCTAATGCCAGGTTGGAGGTGATGTGCAGCGGTACGGTCACCAAGGTCGGACCTGTGATGTGCATGGCCGCTCTTCGTCCCGCCTTAGTGGACAGACCCGGGGATCTGGACTGGAGGACGTCGCTGCCTGTGGTCCCTGAACCGTTAGGGTCCAGAGCGGTGTATGTTCCCTGGGTTCCTCCGATGACCAATCCAGTTCCTCTGCGGTAGGTCACGGCATATTCACTGCCCCCCATTCTACCAGAGGTCGCAGTCACGTCTGGAGCCGCCTGTGGGGACGCAGAGACGAGGGGAGACACGGTGGGGGGCGAGGGGTGGTGCTGTACAGGCTGTCTGGAACCTGGAAGAGAATAAATGAAGAAGAAAAGTCCTGCTTCACTTCAATTATTTGAACCCATTCTTGTCTCCTAACACTTAAATCCTCCTCAGGATCAAAGGGTCATCATATGAGAGTGGGGTTAGTACACTGTTCAACACAGTCTCATATAACCATTCACACTAACATTCACACCTATGATCCGTTAGGAGTTGAACAGCTAGTCCAACCCTGCGTGTTCATGGACTCCATAAGACCGGGAATCAAACCAGCAATCTTTTTTACTCTGAGGCAACACAGCTGACCACGTCTGCCACAGCGATGAGTTTAACATTATCAAAATGTGAGTGAAGACAGCGCCACCTTCTTTGGGATACGACTGTGTGCTGAGGGAGTCCATACTTCGTGCTGGTCTCAGTGAAGACCGGTCCTTCTCTGAAAAACAGTAACAACAGGTCTGAGGTGAAACACCTGAACACACAGTTACTGAATGATATTGTTGATTTTTTAAATATTTCAATTCCTGTTTTTATCCCTAACTCGGACCCGTTCTTTTTACCTTTAGCCGAGTTCTTGTGCCTTCGTCGAGGGTCAGGAAACCGCCCTCCGATGTTGAATATGGACATCCACTTCCTGCCTTTCAAAGATCCCTTTCTCCTGTACGAGGGAGTGGGAGATAAAATACTGTAAAACTACAGGAATGAAGTTGTACCTTTAGTACTTTATCAAATGAGACAATTTCATGTGGTTCTCTCTTTAAAGGACTTCACAAGAAGTTCTGTGTTTCTTATTTGATGGTTACCGATTTCATAATCATCAATATTCTGACTGGACCAGAAAAGTCCATGTGACGTGGAGAAGATTTTCTACTAACTTGTCCGTGCCCTCGATGATGGCATGGTAGGGTCTCATGGCCAGAGGACCGTCCCCAGGACTGATGTTCCCAAAGTTGGTCACCGGCCCAATGGAAACAGACTTCAAAAATCCCTCTTCCTGATTGGACACTGCAAAGGGAGAGGGGAGGGACTTCCTCCTTTCCCTTGATACACCTGGAGAAATGGAGACACGACAGAGAAGAAGTTTGGTGTGTGTCCTGTCAGGTAGAACCTTCTGGTATCACGGCCAGAAAGAGCAGGATGAGGATGATGCTCAACATAAGGCTCTTGGTTTGGGTTGGGTTGTACAAATGAATGGACGTCTGGTAAACCTCTATGTGTGTGTGGGTGTGACCTCTGACCTTCCTCAGGAAACAGCTGAGAGACATGTGTGAGGATGAACTCCACCACGATGGACTGGACTCTGACCTCCATGAAGGCTGCAGTACCGTTAAAACCAGTGGCCTCGATGTCCTTTGACCTAAACACACACACACACACTGGTTCATGTATTACTGACTTACTGGTTTATAACTGGTTGAGAGCGAACACACGTCAGGGTCAAAGTTCTAACGTCAGCTGACCTGAGCAGATTGGGTGCCCAGACGATGGCCAGGTTCCTGGCGTGCATGTTGGTCTCTGTGGAATACGAGGCCATTCTGACCAGATGAAACATCAGGAACTCCAGGGTCCTGAAGGAGAGGAGGAGGTGAAGCCAATTTCGATTATTATATTCCAGCTGATGGGAATTTTCACACCTGTATGTACTCACCTGTAATGTGGTGGCGGCAGCTCCTTCAGCACATTTTTAATCTTCACCAGTCTCTCCTCCTCCAGCTGGATGGCCACCGCCTCCTGCATCACAACCGTAGCAGAAAAACAATGGTTTATTAAAGGCACAGAGACCTAGTCTTCACCAGTTCAGTTGAAACACACAAGGGGAGAAGATCATCCACGTGGGTGCCATGCCTCAGGTACTCACAGCGAACTTGTCGTACAGCTGGTAGGTGAGCAGGGGGTTGGGCAGCTCTCTGAAATACGCCTTACACAGAGAGCTGACACAGTGGATGTCCTGCAGATACACATCTTTGTTCAGATCCGGAGGACCGTCGCTCTCAAACTCAGACCTGGGTTTTAGGTGAACAACGAAGACAGATGATATAAATAGACCTGAGAGTGTGTGCAGAGCAGGGACACATCGGCCTCAAGGGTGTCCTGACAAAGATGGTTTTATCACAAAAACTATGTACATATATGCTCTATGAGAAATTGATTTAAAGAACGTTGTATAGTCATGAAAAAATAACTTTTATTCCAATATTTAAAATTTAAAACTTAGCATTTTTTTACCTGGATTTGAATCTCCCCAGAAGAAAGTCAAAGAAAACAATTAAATACTTGCCACAAAAACAGCGTTAGCCCAGAAATGTAGCCAAAAAAATAGCTTAACTTTAAATTTAAATCTTGGCTGAGAATAGAACAAAAATTAAATTTAAAATCTGCTGAAACTTCGTGAAAACACCAAAGTAATCGTCCCAAGATTTTCTACAAACGTAGGTGGGAAAAAAAGTTCATGTTGAAGGAATAACGGTTTTGTTTTTGTTTTGGGGAAAAACATGGAACGCACCTGAGTTTCTGTATGTTGGATGAGACTCCAGATAATCTGTAGATTCCATCCACGATGCCGTGGTGCTCCACAAACTCACTGCAGCATCGTAGGACCAGAGGAACTGAGGAACATCACGACACACAACAAAATACCATTGGTTTGTGTGGGGGTAAGAACTAAAATACCTCATACAGATGGGGTCGGAGTAAATCCACTTACTCTCCTGGGACGAGGCGTTCAGGTGCTCCAGGAGGTCACATCCAAACACCTTCTCTTTGTTGCCTCCTTTTCTCCGACCTCTTGGCATTTCTGCTGTCTGATGTTTTCACCTCACATTCAGAGTTTCACCGTCTCACACACACACACGCACACACACACTGGCTCTGTGACTTGCTGTGCACGAGTTAGTGACCAATTCCCCTGATGTGATGTCTAAGATTATCAGGAGTTGTTGCTCATTTCATCTCACACACTCCACTGCTGCTGCTGCTGCTGCTGCCGCCGGTGGTTTCTTTTTCCTTTACTTCAGTGCATGTTGTCGGCTGCTTCCTGGTTGCACTGTAGTTCATACATTAACATGTTTGTCCACATTTCTGCTTCATTTTTCAACCTAAAAAAGAAGTAAATAGCAACAAAGATCTTCAGCCTTATTTTCAGCAGGTCCAGTCGTCAGCGGCTCAGTGTGATTCTCTTCTTCCCTCCAATGACCTCGGCTCTTATTCGAACCAAAAGCCACACCCTTGACTCTGTACTTCTCCTATTCACTACATTGAGCCTGTGAATGTTTTACTTTGGTCAGTATCACAGTCTCTCTCTCTATCTCTCGCTCTGCTGGTGGTCCAGGACTAACGCTTACATCCTAGGACTCTCGGAGTCTATCCTGCGCCTGCTAGGCCCTCCACGGCTGCCTGTCATGGCCCCCGTTTTCAGTGCAGTGGAAGTCGATGAGTGCTGAAGACTCTCCCCCAACCTTCCCCCACCCTAACACCTGCCGCTGCTCTCCTTTAGTCCAACATCTCCCCCATTTCTGGGAAATGTTTCATTTTCAAAACACACAGTGAAAAATGAACGCGTTAGGAATCAAGTGTGCGACTTCTTACCTTCACTCACTGCATCGACAAGGCAATAAGCAACTTAAAAATGATGACGCAACAACCACTGAACTTCCCCTTGGCAACTTCCTGTGTGTCTCTGCTGCTTTCTCTCAGTATGTGGCTCACAGCACTTCCGCCTCTGATCGTTGAGAAGAGAGAAATCTGATCAGTGTAAAATCAAACTAGTTCTTGTTATCTGTGGTAGCTCCAAATGTTGTCAAAGGTCACGAGTGACTGACCCCTCATCCTGACCATTGAAATTTGATTAAATCACAGGCTAAAAAACAAAACAAAACATACCATCCTACATTTGACAATAAATCTTCATCCCACATCGTGTGTGAAGGATGACCTTGTGAAGGTGAAGTCACTGGAAAGTCAAAGGAAACCACAGGGAGGGAGACTGGAAAGAAAACCAGGAAACAAAACTTTGCTGGCTTGATGATCACATGACCTAAACTATTAGTTCCAGGTCTTTTGTGTGTGGTGTTGTTTTTATATAAAGTAATACTCCTACAGTGGCCTTAGTGATTTTGGTTCATATCTGATTTGACATTAATGTGATGACGAGAGCAACATTGGTTTTGTTTTTTTACGTTTAAGTTCTTAGAAGTGGAGAATATCACTACACATTCATTAGACTGTGGTTTTTTAAAGTTTCTAATTCAATGAGTAGTTTGTAGTAGAATTTGATTGTTTTCCGTTTAAAACCAGAGAGAGGTTTTTTTTAATTTCCATCGTTATTCTCCAACTACTTACCTTTGCCTCCTACATGAGGTCTTAGTGTTTCTAAAATATGGTTTTAACTCTGGTCCATAAAACATCAAATTTTGGTTACACTTAATTTATTATATAAATATATATATACTTAATGAATTAAACAATTAAAAAAAAACGTTTGTATTTGTGTGTGAAGGTGGAGCGAGGAGAGAACAAGGATGAAAGCTGCAGAGATGAGAAGAAAAGTTGTATCATAAGTTACAATTTTGACACACAGCAGGTGATATTTTGGCTCCCTCAGGCGGTGAATCGGATGTACTTACACCCTGACATTAATTTAAAATGTTATAATGACAATATTTAGTCTCCTTTACCTTGCGTCTGCCACCTGCTGCCATCGACTGAAATCAGTAGTAACAAATTCCTGCTAACCAAAAAAGATGAAGAGTTCAAAAACACAAGTTCAAAAAAGCTTTGTTAATCATTCAGCATAAAACAAAGACCAAAAACATCATCTCAGTCTGTAACCATCAAAGACAGGTAGTATTTTTTTTTACACGAACTATACAAAGGTAAGACATTAAAAATGTTTTCTCTTGAATATCAAATAAGGTATTTCATCCTGTGAAACACTGTGGTGTAAACCTTGATGCGTCTGTTGCATAGTAAAGAAGTGAGGTGGAGTTAGGTCCTGTCAGACTGAGGCGGAAACAACTGTTCACGGACGAGTGCTTCAGAAGAGGCTAACTCCAAACCTCCAGGAGTTATTACGGTAATAACCTTTTTTATAAGTGACTGAGCTTGCATTTTCGTCTGTGAAGTGCAGGAAGTAGCACACCGCTGTGATCAAACAGGAAGTCGAAGGTCAAATACAACGTATTGCAATTATTTATGGATTAGTGTGTGTCGAGAAACAGTGGTTTACTGTTCGTGATGGGTCTGGAGCAAAACGTGGTCGTCATCAGGTGGGAGTGGGATTACACACTGGACAGGCTGCCATTCACACAAATATTTATATTTAAGGTAAATTTAGAGTGAATAATTAACTAAATAATATTTGTTTTGGAATGATGGAGGAAGAACTCCATGTAAACACCAAATAGTACAGTAGTATTGAACCAATGACCTCTCAAGGATGATGACTCACTAATAAAGTCTCCTGAGCTTCTACAGAGTTACATGTTCAGTCTTCACTGCTAGTGTAAATGGTTGCTGATGCTTTTACAGTCACTCCTGGATGTTTGGTGAAATGACCTCAGAGGAGAATTCCACCTCTTACATCATGTTTCAAACCCAGGTTTATGATAAAAAAAATAACCAACAAAAACCTCTTCTTAGTATTTTTGCACAAACAATACAAAGGACCAGTCACTCCAGCTACAGACACGACACAAATCAGTATTTACAAAAACCTTAAAGAGAACAATATTCTACATCACCTCGTAGTACTAAATATAAACAACCGTTTGTTTTTTTCAAAAATAATCTCTATACTGAGTGTCTGAGTGTGGAGAGAAAACCTGTTTGCGTGGATGTGTTACCTGAAGTCTTTCACACCTGCGACGTGGGACAGAAAAACAATGCAGTGCTTTATCTCCTCTGGTTGTGTTGTTTTCCTAAAAAAGTTTCCAAAAAGCATCAGTAAATCTGACAGTACATACTTTCGGGCACTTTATCGTCATCACGTTAAGGGTCAGAAGGTCAAGGAGGCTGACGTGTCTCTGTTGTATCAGTTCTGAGCGTATTAGGTGAGAACACGTTTCGCTGCCTCATTTCTTCATTACAGTGAGCAGTGCTCCGCCCCCCCTCTTCCTCCTTTCTCCTCCTGGCTGCAGGAGCAGTCCATGACCTCGCTGCTGTCACTGCAGGAGACCATTGGAGTCCAGCTCTCCCCAGACAAGTCGTCGCTGCTGTCACCTCCTCTTCCTCCTCCCCTTGGGCCGCAGTAAGGTGGGATTTCAACCACGACAAATTTCTTCGCCCAGCTGCTGTCTATGCTGACCCCTGACCTCTGGACGTCGGTTCCAGTCAGTCCTGTGTCACAGGGAAAAAAGAGATAAAAGAGATAAATAAAGAGATAAATATGGTTTACAGCTCTTTACACTAAATCAAACAGTGGTACGTGTGACACCCCTGGTACATGGGTTCAACTCTAATGTGGGATTATGGTTAGGACCTGGGGTGCATTAAGTTAGCCACTCATTTGATAAACATTCAGAGTTGAAGTACTATTTGTAGTACTAGTTGATTGTACAGGGTGTCTTTGGATGATAAACTAACCAATAACAGTAATCCTGTGCTGCTGGAGTTGGGAGGGAGAAATATTTTGGTTTTAAAAACGTCTGCACTAAACCTTCATCTTCAGTGAAGGACTGAAGAAAACCTCTTGGACTAAAAACACGTCCTGATTGGTCACCTGACCTGTCAGTGTTGTGGAGACCTGGCTTGAGTTGCAGGTGAGAGAACCGTTGTTGTTGGAGCTCACGACAGCAGCCAGACTGAAGACCTCAGAGCGGGGCAGTTGGGGCGACACCGGCAGAGAGTGACACTGTCGTCCCGGCAGCTGCTGCCAGTAGAACGAAGTCTCCTGCAGCGCTGTGGCAGGAGGCTGGTTACTGAAGGCGCTCCCCGGGGGCGAGTGAAGGTCAAAGACCAACGAGAAGACGGACTTGCTGGGCACATCGTAGAACTTGATCTTGCCTCCACACAGGTCTTCGCGAGCTGTGAACGGGTTGATTTTGTGGGTTTTGCAGGATCGCTGCGCGGTGGGGGGGTCGTAGTAGGGGTCCTGGATGTTGACTTTTCTCAGTAGTTTGCAGGAGAAGATGTCCGACTGGCTGCGACTGAGCCAGATGTTTCGTCGGGGGCGGGGCGATTTAGGTGGGATTTTGTCGTCGGGGAAACTAAGAGGGTTTGTTCTCTTGAAACCCTGGATTTTCTCTACTGGAATAAGAAGACAGAAACAAAACAAATCAGATCTCACCCACAATTAAACCTTTTAAAGTTTTTTTCAACTTTTTTTTTTGCTTTTGCTTTTCATTCACCAAACTTTTTTTGTGTAAATTAATGGGGTTTAAACATGAAAACAACGAGTGAAGTCCTGACAACAAGGTGTGTTAAAAATACAGACGGTTTCTAGGAGTTTTAGAGAAAACATTCTCAACACTTTTTTACTATTTTCGAGTTAACCAGTAGGTGTCAGTGCAGGAATAGATTTTCCTTCAGTCCTTAGCTGTAAGTCCCTAAAAAAACAATTTTTCATTTTGCTTTTTATAAATAGATTTTTAAATCACATTAACAATAGCAGTTGTCATAACATTGATCATTAGCATGGAAAGAATAACACTTTAAATGTTGGACGTGGTTTTTAGGATGTGGCTTTCCAGAAAATGCTTACACTTGAGAAACAAAGTTTGTTCACAGAAGTAAACAAATATGTGGAGACGCACAGAGAAGTGGAGTCAGATGTTCAGAACAGTTTGTAACTGACAGTAGACAAAGAGTCAAATCCACTCCAGGTTTTCACTACAGCCGCTCCACCAATTCTTCTTATATCAACAGGATCGGACTGTGTTTTACGGTGTATTTTGTTGGCTTTGTTGTGATGTACAACAGAACACACACACGCTTGTCAAGGGTAATCCACACTCTGACATCAAATCTTCACCTTCCCCTTATTTACATATTCTCATCCAGAGGGAATAAAAACCATCAGTGTCTCCATGAACGTCTGACATGCAGGCGTCTGAACACTGGACCAATTTAGAACTGGAACCTGGGCCTGTGTGGATCAAGTATCTTAAAGTGCAGTGTTTACCTCTGACAGATTGACCTCTGTGACTATAAAGATTTGTTATGGAGTCTCTACTGTCCCTTAAAGCTGGGCTCTCCACACTTTTGTGCCTTGGCAGCTACTTTTCTTCAGACCAGGTCAAACTGATCTACTTACACAGACAAAATATATATTTACTTCACTGTATATGGACTGAATATATTTCATTTTAGGGCCATGTACCTTGGAGGCCAGAGACTGAAATAATATGAAATAAAAATCACATTTTATTTGATGTCTATTTTGGAATCCAGTCATGGGCGGCATAAATGGTTCGACGGGCTGGATTTGGCCCACAGGCCACCAGTTGATGATCACTGCTATAAACCATTCAGTGGTCTTCATCAAACTTCACTCAGTGTTACCTTTAGAGATGTTCGTTATGTCGTTGTCTCCGTCCAGCTGGACACACTCCTGCTCCACCTCCTCGGCTTTAAGGCGTGCGAGATTCTCCTCCAGGTACTTGACGATCTCAGTGAAAGATGGGCGGAGTTTAGGGTCCATCTGGAGGAGGAAAAAAAAGAGAGTGTTCAGCCTTTTCTGCTGACCAGTCTCAGCTGTGAGTGGCTCTGACCCACGAAGCCGACACATGAAAGAGTGAAAAAAACAAGGAAGCAGTGAACTCACGTTGCAGCAGTTGAAAGCCAGCTGAAGAAAATCAGGCGGACAGTCTCCAACCATGTGCTGGAACGTGTGGTAGTCCAGGCCGAAGTTCTACGTTATTGATATACAATTTTAAATGGTAAACATGGATTTGCAGTATACAGTAATATATGCAGTACTGTATGCAGTATTACAGCTTCACAGACTGGCAGTGAAGTGAGAGGAGCAGGTACCTCCGTGCGGGGAAGGTAGTCAGGATCTGCCTGGATTCGTGCAATGATCTCACACAGGACAATTCCGTATGAAAAGACATCAGCCTGGAAATACAGAGACAGGAAGAGAGGAGAGAAGAACCGCAGGCTCTTAAAATGTAAAATACATTACAGACAGATGATTGGCCCTGTGGAATTGAACTTTACCTTCTCATTGTAAGGCTCATCTCTGAGCACCTCCGGAGCCATCCAGAAAGGAGAACCAACCACGGAAAGCTTTTCACGTTCAGCACTAAAGACAGAGACAAAGGATGAACAAAAAAAACCCCAGTCATAGTGAATATGAGTCAGGAAGTAGAACAAAGAAAAGGCTCGGAGTTGGGATGTAACAATACATCGTGAATCGGTTAAAGATTGCTACAAATGTGCCAGAATCTTTCCAGCCTGGTACACAACTGTTCGCACAGTATTTTTACAAGGTTCATTCTCTGTGGCTTTGCCCAGAGAACTTTCACTCGTAATGTTTATTGGTCCTTAGAAGCTAGTTTGTGTGGGAGCGACGTTATAGACTAAAGATCCCATTAGCCACGCTGCAGACGCTTCAGAATGTGACAACCACAGAGCAGAAAATACACCCGTGTGAAGTGTGTGTAATTGTTTGCCATCACGCTGTTGTTAGCAGCTCACTTTTCCTAATCATCCGTTTAATTGTCCTTGTTAGGAATCCAGAAAACAAACAATGTGATTAGATTTTCTTCTGAGTGACGTGTTCAAATATTCAGTGTGGTTTTCACAGGAAGAGAAAAACAAACAAAAAAAAACCATTGGGGGGTTTTTAACTGTGACGTGCACGACTGTGCTGATCAGTCACACACCAACTGTGTGCGTTGGCAGCTGGTGAAGAAGTGTTTCTGTGAAAACAGCTGCTTTGGACAAAAAAACCCTCTGATGTAATAAACAGTAAAAGTCAAACCAGAGAAAACCACGTCATTTGCAACACAAAAATGGTGAGTGAGTGAGTAATCAATAAACAAATAGTATTAATCACCACACAGCTGTGAAGTGTTCTATTTAAAGAGGTCCTTACACAGTAGTGGGGATCTTTTCTGCCAGTCCAAAGTCTGCAACTACGGCCGTGTAGTTGTTGTCGTCACATTTGATCAGACAGTTCTGAAAAAAGAAAATCATCACAGAGACAATCAAAATTAAGGAAGCTGCAACAGGGCCATCAGTTGAATTACCATAGATAACCTTTCAACCCTCACTGTTTTTTCACTGCACATCACACTTCTGTGTACGTGCAGAGAAAACAGGAACTGTTGACCTTCCTCTGCAGGCTGCAGTAAATGTAGTGACACTCCTGTTGCAGACATGAGCATGAATGTCATGACAGTTGGGTTTGCAGAGCATTCACGCTGCACAACTGACAGACACTGACTTCCAGGGACAACATCAGTGAAGGGGAGTTGACACCAGAACACAAGACACTGAACCAAACCAGCTGCTTCCTGTCTGGCTGTTAATTGATTTGCTGTAACAAATGTCATCATTGTGTCTCAGTCACACCTGAATCCTAATATGTATCGTAACGCCAGATTCTTGTCAGTACACGTCTGAATAGAGCAGCTTGTTTATCCTGTATATATCGTACAAGAGCAGACTTGAAGTCTGGTTTCTATTCAGGTGCTTTAATGAACAATGGGGTCTTGAAACCAACCTTGGAGGTGAGGTCCCGGTGGAACACGCCTTTAGAGTGAAGGTAGGCCAGACCACAGGCGATCTCAGAGGCCAGTTTGACCCTGGTGGGCCAGCTCAGGTGTGTGTTGCTGTCAAGAAGGTGCTCCAGGTCTCCACCGTTGATGTACTGCAAACAGGCAGAGAACAGAGACGACGTGAACCAACAGCATGCAGTCCAACAAGCTGACAAAATCAACACATTCATTCATTTCATTAACACAATTACAGATTAAATTATTTAATTTATCATCTTGATTTATCACAATTAATCAGGATTATTCTACAGCTACTCTGTGATTAATCAGATTTTCAAGTTTGAATGGTTTGTCAGCTCTAATTTGTAGTTATAAATTATGACAAGGACCACAAACCTGCACAATAACTTCAATTGTTTAAGGTCAAATACTTTGAGTAAATCATCATCAAATACATCCACGACACCAGAGGATCAGAGGATTTGTCAGACAAATTCCTCAGTAGCTGCAGAGTCAGTCATAACATCTGTTATCTGGTCACCTGGAAACAATTACAGCTCACTTCCTTCTCTACTTCATCGTGTCACTCAAAGTCACGATGGAGCTGCTTTGACTCACACACTGACACGAGCCTTGGCCAATAGTTCTAATGCACCGCCAGTTCAAAGTGTGACTCATGTGGTTCCGTAAAAAAAAAAAAGATCAGAATGGGGGTTGTGTTTGAATCAGAGCCTCTTCTACAGGCAGGCCATTTTCCCCTGGATTTCATCTCATCCTATTCTTAGAGGTTCTGATTACTTGACACGGCACATGTGTGAAGTGCAGAGGTTCCTCAGCGTGTTTGTGTGTAAGAGAGGACGCAGAGTAAATGAAAACCATACGACTGTAGTGGAGGTTGTTCTGTTTCCTTCTCAGTAAAATCCTGGAAAGACCTGAACAAAAGAACCTTTGTTTTCTGATGACAACTGAAGACTCCCTCTGTAGCTGGAATAATAATTGGACTAGTATTGGACTAGTACTGGACTAGTAGTACTCACCATTTTACCACCAAATAAAATTCAACCAAGAGCTGTGAAAACATTTAAATGAAAGTGATACAGCCGTGAATGAAGTTTTAAGTAGTTCAGGTATATGGTACTACATCCTTTTAGTACATACTGTATGTCCAGAAGAAGACAATGACAATGACTATTCTGAAATCAGTGATAAGTCAGATGGTGCACAATGACTGCAGGCGATTGGATGTACGAGTCACGACTGTTTTTGTCTGGAAAAACAAAAACCAGACATCTGGTCTGTTCACAAACTACCAAATGACCTCAAATCTCACAGGGAGCCACTGCAAAAGAGCTGAAGAGCCGCCTGTGGCTCTGGAGCCACGGGTTTCAGACCCCTGGTATTACTGACTAAGTTAGAGACAGATGTTGTAATAACACTGATATTTGTCAACACCAGTTTTTTCTCTTCCTGAGGTTTTTGTAATAATCCTCAGAATAAGAGACTCTAAGGTGCCTTCACATCAGCTAACAAACATCACAATAAAAGTAAATAAATAAATAAACTGCACTTGGATCGTTTGGAAACAGAACACGTCACGTCTGCACAGAAGAGAAAGTGAATAACCGGAGGTATTCAGTGGCCCAGCAGTTAAAACCCAAGGTGGGGGTCAGGTAACAAAACATCACGGGGGCTGGTACCAGGGTCGGAGCACTCACACTCACACAAGTCCTGACACCACACAACGAGATCTGTTTACGCCGCAGCCAGAAAACAGGACCAACCGCAGCGTGCACGTATGTACGTTCATGTAGGAGTCTCACAATACCAGGATTGAGTCGGACCAGAGGAGTGTGTCCATTGGTTAAAGATGTGTTCCCCTCCGCAGAACTGCAGAGAGCTGCTGTTTGTCTGTGTTGGCCGGGGCTACAATCGGCACATTGACCGTGGACTGTAATGGTGCACATGTGTGTCTTTCACATCAGCTCTACAGAGCATTCTTTCTTCACAGGCTAAGTCTTATGTCGTGAAGTTTTTGTTCTCCCTCAGCAACAGTGTGGCCTGGGCCCCGTGTCGTATTATTGGACAACATGACATTCACCTGTAAATAGCAGCAGCGTGCAGAAGCATCATTTTTGCAAAGGACATGTTCATTAGGAGGGTGTGGGTGGACAGGAGACGCTCTGTTCTCAGAGGCCATTGTCTGAACTTTTAATATACAATGTTGTGTGTTTGCGTGTCTACGTACCTCTGTCAAAGCGTGTAGCTGGCCCTCGTGGACACACACTCCTTTGAACCTGACACAGAGCACAGAGACATGATGTTGAAGGCACACGCTCACTGCTGAACTAATGAATTTGAGGATTATAATATATTTTTTTTTATGTATATGAACATTGTTTCATTCAGTGGAGATATGTAGTAACTTCCAGCGTCAAGGTCAGACAGGTGACAACTGAGGGGGTCTGTAGAAAGGAGGATAACAGCTGCTCAGGTGCTGCTGCTGCTGTTACTGCACAACATCAACAACAACAAACTAACTAACTAAAATAAACTAACTCTTAACACGAGCCCTGCAGACGGCCTCATGATTCCACAAGCAACGAAAAGGTCAGCTTTACGAGTCCTTGTCGGATCGTGTCTAACAATGACCCCTCAGTGCCTGGCTGTTAACACACAGACTGACACACAATCCTGGAGGCATGTTCTCCACAAAGATGGTATTGTAATGGACAGTCAACATGTATGTGTGCGTGCGTGTGTGTGTGTGTGTTAACTTATGTATGTGCATGTTTATGAATGTACCCATGTCTCTCAAATCTGACAATGGATTTTTCAGAGAGAAAGAAAAAATTTAGGTCAAGACAAAAGTAGAAACTAAAACTCAAACCTTATAAAGTGTCAATGTTGTGCATTATAACAACCTCAGAGGTTATTGATGGATAAAAAGAGCTGCGCCCCGGGGGTTGAGACAAATTCAAACATCTCAACATTTAAATTGGTCAAAATAAAAATGAATGAATGAAACACTGTATCAGTAAAGGTGTAAGAAAATATGGATAAACTGAAATTCCACAACATTTCGTCTCACGAAACCGTATCAATATTCTACAGCACTGTATTGATTTTTTATTAACAATTAGCAGTCAAATATTCATGCTGTTGGTTCACGGACTCTGGTTAAAGCACAGAGCCCTGTTTGACGAACTTCATCAAATATTCTCCTTTCGCCTGGTGGACTGAAGGCCTCTCCTCGCTTCCCAGCCTCCAGGCGTCAAGTTCAACTCTAACCGGAGGTGGTGGTTCAGAAAATCTATTGTTAATAAGCTCTGTGGTTGACACAGTTTCCAACCAACCCCACAGGAAACAGGCGACAACCACCGGCTGGTGAAGTGAAAGGAGAATTACGTCTGAGGTGGTAACATTACGTAATAAAACAAATGAATCTAATGTACGACACAGAAGGTCAGTATTCCAGGAAATGACTTCATGTGGAGCTCTATTAATGCAATGATGAGGACCTTGAAAAAAATGTATATGTAAAGAGAACACAGTGTAACAGAGGGTGACTGACCTGAGTATGTTTGGGTGAGAGAGGCGGTTCATGAGCTGCACCTCTCTCAGCATGTTGGCTCTGTTGCTGCTCAGCTTGTTCATCTTCAGCGCCATGATCTGGTCCGAGGCCCGGTGACGTACCTGCCATGAAGAAGAACAACTACGTTGGTTAACATCTTGCAAATACAGTATACAGTATACAAAGAAATTGTGGGAAATTCAACGTTTCAGCCCCTTGAACTTTTTGCAAACTTGAAAACATGTTCTCTTAAAAAAAAAGAAGAAAAAAAAGAAGTGTGTGCCTTGCACAGCAACAGGAAACGGAAGACAACACAAAAAAAAGAGAAGTACAAAACGAGGTCAGTCAGAACTGACCGTCACTGACAGTTGTGACCGTCCAAAAAACACACAGTCGATGTTGTATTACTGAACACTGAGAGGCTGGTTCGATTCCACGTCCATGACATTACTGTCATCATCATCGTCATCTTCATCTTCTACAGATGAGTCTTTTATTGAGCTTGTTTTACAATAAAAAAGTTTGATAATATTTACTACAGATTTTAAAGCCCATTCTCAGCTGTAAAAAATACAATGACATAATGCTGTCTTTGACACACTACCTGAATTAATTATATTTGGTTTAACTTCTCTGTCTAAATATTTAATATTGTTTACTTTTTAAAATGCACTGGTTTTCTTATACATACAGAGATTCTGAGAACAAAGTGCCATGATGTTGTTCTTTTTATTTGTTTATACTAGCAGCGTTCCCACAGATGTTCTTTTTATTGCCACATCACCTCAGTCTTTAAAAATAGAAAGTGACCTTCTCTCTTAGGGTTTCAGATAGGCAGCATCTCAATTCAGAACTACAGTAACAGGTACTTTTCTTTTCTTTGAATGCACTCATGCAAAGAGGAAACGTCAACCTGGAAACCACAGTGGGTTTGTAAACTGACAGAGCAGTGAACTGCTGCAGCCTGCTGTACTTTCCTAACTTTGCTGACTCACTTCCTGACATGATGCAGTTTTTTTATTATTATTTATTTTCAGCCCCCTGCAAAGACATGAATGATCCAGCTGTGTATATACAAGTCCAGAACCTTAAATGCATGCAGACGTTTGGAACACATACGTGCTTCTGCATCAGATCAGTGAAACATGACCTTAACAACAACATGACCACTGGTTAAACAAGAGGATGCGACTGTGAACCAGTGGTAGGTTACAGACAAATGCATTACTACGAACAACTTTTGAAATAATAATGGTTTGATAAGCATCAACTGTTGTATAAATGGCAGGATAATTAAAAGGATCACAGAGAGTGTTTCTCTCCCCGTGTCGGCTCGTCTCTCTGCATCTCATCCACAAGGACACAAAAATCTCTCTGTTCAAGTTCAAAGGGAAGAGGCCTGGCTGCAGGAGCCGGCGGCCTCCACCACAGGACGGCAGAAACAACAGATGGCCACTCCTCTGAAAGCCTCCACCCCCCACATCCGTCTATCCTCCTCTCCGTCTATCCTCCTCTAACACCCCCCCCCCCCCCCCCCCCCCCCCCCCCCCCCCCCCCCCCCCCCCCCCCCCCCCCCCCCCCCCCCCCCCCCCCCCCCCCCCCCCCCCCCCCCCCCCCCCCCCCCCCCCCCCCCCCCCGTCACCAAGTCCTCACTCCTCTTCACATCCCCCATCTCGTTTTACCCCTGATGCCCCTCTTTCTTCTCCTCACTGAGCCCTTCACAGAACCATCACCACTGGGTTTTTCCCACTACCTGCTCTGTTTTCAACTCACTGATTCTCATCTCTGGTCTGTTTTTTTTACTGATGAAACATCTACTCTGTCTTCTCCAGCACCTGTCTCTCCACTCCTACAGAGTTTTTTTTTGTTGTTTTTTTCAAATTTCATCGCATTCAAAAGCCTTAACTCATTAGCCCCCACACCATCAAAGGGTCCTTCATTGTTCTGTACTTCTTTGACACATTTTCCTCTCCTTGAAGTACGCTGTGCTATTCATCAGTCATCTGTGATGTCATATTAAAGAGGTCGGTATTGAATGAGCATAAATCACTGATTCAGTTGCCAGGATCACCAACACCAGCAAACGGATTTAATTTAACTCCTGCATTCATTGAACCCGGGACCTCGCTCTACCACTGAGCTACTGTACATACCCATGTGACAAGAGCTCAAGCAGATCACATTTCATACAAAGTCTTACAGGACATGGTTGGTTAATCAGCCTGAAATCTTATGCTTTAAAGACTCCTAAAGATCCTATGTCATTTGTCATTTACTTCGGCTTCATACAGCCATTAAAATACATTAATAAACAATCGCATTGACTTGCTTCCAAAGTTAATGTTGTTTTATGTCTGCGTAACACACCAGCATGACTTGTCATGTACAGAGAAAAAAAAAATCAATAGATTTCTGAGTGCATGTCTGGATACGTGAAAAGTGCGATAAAGAAAAAAAAAGCAAGAAAGATAAGAAACGGCAAACTAAGGGAAAGAAAAAGAAAGAGGGCATAAAAGGAAAGTTATGACGGATCTCCGCCCACCTTGAAGACATCAGAGAAGAATCCAGAACCAATCCACTCGCAGGCAAAGTCATCGAGGCGTGTCAGACAGGAGAAGGCGCTGATGAGGGCTCTGTATGATGACGGCCACACCCTGCCCACCTGAAGGAAATAACCATCACATACTGAACACATACTGTCATGGTGAATGATCAACTGTGATGCAGAAGCAATTTTTATATATAAAAATAATTTATATATAATAACTATATTTATTTATTACGTGACTGTTCCGCCATTTTTGTAAAATATACTGAATGTTTACTACTGCAAACTGGAATACTGACCTGTGGCGTCGGGCCCCCGCCCATCTCGCTGACCCCTACCCCTCCGAAAGCGTCCTTGTCGTCACTGAGGCGGTCCGGTCGTGTTGGGAAGCCGGCGATGGAATTTCTTTTGTTCCGGTCCATGGTGATGTGGAGGATGGTGATGGCAGTGAAGGTGATATGGGCGTGGTGCTGCGATGTACCTGCATGACAGGAGCGCTGAGTCCCTTTGCTGGTGCCGATGGTTCCACGGCGGCACAGAACGTCAACATCCACTCAGATTAAGTCCTCGGTGGAAATATGTGAGACCCATAGACTTCAGTTGTTTTAAAACACATATGTGGTTTACAAAAGAGTGGGGGGGATGTCACATATTTGACAGATGAGTGATGGGTCAAGACCTAGAAAAAAAAAAGAATTCTGTTTTAAATACATTCAGATGGTGTTGACCAAGGATACACTGGCATACAGACTTCTGTAGTGACTGTAACAGAATGTTGGTTCCTGCATGCAAATACATGATTTAAAACACTTGCTCAACTGCCCAAAATACAATGGCTGTAATAGTGGCCGATTGTTTGGACACGGGAGAAAAGCCAAGAAACGGCTCAGGTCCAGGACATTTCTGCCATTGAAAACAAAATCAGCAGGGCACAAAGAGGAAGAGGAAAAGGAGGTCTGCAGTTAAAGGTCCTTCTTTATACTAAAAACAACTACAATAAACAATGTGGCTTTTATATCTGACTCTGAAGGCAGCGTGGGGTCAACGGAAAGGTTTGGATGGAGCTTTCATTTTCTGGCTTCTTCTAAATTTACTTCACAAGACAGTAGCCAAGAGTTCAAGCAGATATTAATCCCACAGATGATTGGACGATGGAGCAGAATGAGGGCGGTGTGTGTGTGTGTGTGTGTGGGGCGGGGGGCTGACCTTTGGCTTAGCAGGTAGTAAAGAAAGGTCTATAAAGTCCATGATTCATCTTTGACTGTGTCATCACAGTGTGATCTTCGTTGTTGGTATTATACAGCACTGTATTGATTTATTTTATTAACAATTAACACACAAATATTCATAACGAAAACAGATGTAACACACACTCCAAGCCTAGTTTGTTATTCCTGAGTAAGGCTTGAAAGTTGTAAAATGTTTGTCATAATTCCTGAGTAAAGCATACAACCAGCCGTGACTCAGGACTTATTTATACAGCCTTCCTAAGAGACAGTAAAACACTTCTTTGGCAAATGCAAGATATTATACACACAATATACATCTTAATCTCAACAGCAGCCAGAATGTGTTGTCCATCAGCAGCATGACATCACCAGCAAAACCGTCTCTGCTTGATAGTGTGGTCGTACTGAACACATTCTAGTCTCTGTCCTGTCACTCAACCACATCCTTTAAAGGCTTCTATCATCATCTCTCATTTTACCCTTCAGAAACGTCTATTTTTATTTTCTAGTTGTGCTGAAAGGCAGCATAGATCATACAAAAATATAATGTCCTTATGCCAAGCATAACCAACACTGTGAGTACCAGACTGAAGGCAGAAGGACTTTATCAGGATGTTTCTTTTGTAAAGTCAAGAATAGGTCAGTTTGTAAAAATCCACAGTTGATTTACATACACCCACATCAGTGTGCAGCGCAGCTGATGGTGACGAAACATAAACTTCCTACACTAACATCCCAGTCATGTAAATGATCCTAAGCAAGAGCATTATTCCACCAAGACTCAGTGGGTGGGTAAAGTCCAGTTAAGAATCATCCTCACGGGTCTAAACCAGTCAACTAACTGCCAAAAAGAATTTTTACACCCACTTTTACACCCAGACAACATTCACCATCATTCGCTGACAACAAACGGGACAACAACAAGGACGAAACCGTCGAGAGGAAACCATCAAAAACCTCCACCGAGGCTGCTCAGTTTCCACAGTTTTGTGTTCAATGTATAAACTTAAAATAGTCTGGTGTAAACTGTAAAATGTAACTTAAGACCACGTGGGAAAAAGAACATTCCAATCGTATGACGTGTTTTTTTTTAAAAGTGACTTATTTTCCATCTTCAACACAGAATTCTCAGAAGCACGGCAGTATGATTACAACATATTTACATTCTTAACTTTCTTAATCAATGCTTTCCTTGCAATTACAATGTAACATGGACTTCATCAGTTAGGCTCTGATACCTAAATCATTTCCAGCAATGCTGCAGAGAACTCTTTAAATATCCTCAAACAAACCAAGATGGCAGGAAACATAGGTTTGTGTTTGAAGGCAATTAAATTCACATAATACTGCTGGAAGCTGCAAAAATCCAAAAATAAATCAACGAAATAGAGAGAACGTAAACAGTGTTTCTATCTATATTTGTTTCTTAACTACACCTCCGTATCTGGAGAGCGTGTATTTAAAGCACCACACTAAAGGGACTGTACATGGAGAAGGGTGGAATTCTAAAAGGCGGCCTTTTTCTGGTCTTTAAAATGTGGCCTGCTGCTGCTGCTCCAAAACAGATGGGAGATCTCCAGAGCAGCTCCAGGCCAAATGTTTTAACAGTAGTTTGCGGGCCTGTACACTCTGCAGCTGTGTTCCACTGGATTACAGGCTAATAGAAAACGTCAGCCATGAATCAATGCTAAAGTGATGTTATAATAATAGGCTGAGCTAACGTTGGAGTGGCTCCGAAGTGCAAGAGGTATTAACTGGGCGTGTAAATGTGTCTGAGGGAGAGATGATTTGTTAGTGCATGTTTGAATGAAGAGCACAAACACTGGAGAACAAAGTTATCAGCCCTTCGAGAAAATAATGTCCTTTTTTTTCTTTAGTGTTAGTATCTAACACTAACAGCATTAATTTAGTATTTAGCATGCCAACTCTTTCTACTTGTATATCATTTTAAAAAACTACTGTACACTGCACATAAACACAAAAGGTCAAAGTGATTAGCCTTCGCAAAGCACTGACCTATTTATTCAGCCAAAGCACAGAGTAATGGAGTCATGGGCTGATGAAAAGGACAAAAACAGCCTAGTCCATACTTAAAAAAGTCGACCAAACATTTTCCAGTATCAAGTGTTTGAGTGAAAAGTATAAGCAAGAAGTTTATGTAGAAAGAAAACTGAAGTCAGCCAGGTTTCTATATTTACAAAAAGAAGGGCTGATATTAGAATAAATGTTTTGAAAATCACACTAGGGAAATGAACAAGAAGTGTGGTAGAATAGACGATGAGAATAAAAAAGAGAAAATAGAACAAAATATGTATAACATAATGTACATTATTTAAGCAATTTAGGTTCAAAAGTTATGTAGCCTACATATTTAAACATGGAAAACTGCAGTAATCTACAACATAGGTCAGTGTATTTACTGTATTGCACAGAAACAAAAAAAAAACCCACAGATGTGGAAATGAAACTGTGCTAAGGGAAAGCTCCAGATGAGAGGGTGAAACGAGCAATGATAAAAAACACATACAAAACGATTCCTGCCATTCCTTTTGACATAAACTCCAGAGTAATGACTTTATCTAATCACTGATTCTCCACAGTGTTGAAATAGAGGCAAGTGAAAACCTGTTTAGTTTTCTGTTTGCTTTTCTCCTGTGAGCTGAGAGTCCACTGAAAGACCAATCTCTGCCATGTGTTTGAACAAGGTCACATTCAATAAAAGTCAACAGCCTCTTATCTGAGCATCTACACCTGATAAAGTGCCATGATATACAAGCCTCTGCATACCTGTCATTCTTCAGGGGTTTAAAGTAATGAACACTAAGTCCATGGAGCAGGAACCGTTGGTGGAAGAAGGAACTGCTTATTATCTGGATACCAACGAGTCTTAATGAGTTTATACTGCGACAAGAAACTTGGTGTAACCCATATGAGCCGAAGCCAGTGTTATAAAGATGTCGTAACGGAAGAAACATGTTGAAATAGTAAGCAAGGAATGACTGAAAGATTAGCGGCTACTGTTAGCTGTTAACTGTTCATTAAAGTTTAGCTGACTTACCTGCCTTTATTTCAAACCGACGTTTGAAAACATACAACAGCTACAGTTGGTTTTCATGCCTCAAACTGAAGGAAAAAACAAAAAAGAACAAATAAATGATGGAAATCTGTGACACCGTTATCTCAGCTACTAACCGGTTTGTCAACAAAACTCGAGCAGAACTGTGGGCTAACGCTGACAGGCATTAGCATTAGAATCGCTGCTACCGACACTTTTCCTGCGTTTTTAGTCGCCACGCAGGAAAAGTCCACATTCCCACAGGTTAACAACTCTACAAAGTGATTTTAAAGTGTTTTCAGCTCGTCCTTGTTTCCGTGGAGAAGTACATGTGTTGTTTTTGGTCCTATCTCCGTCTCTGTTTTGACGCCAGGGACATTATATCGGTAGACGACTGTTATGGGCTTTGACAGCTCTCTGTTTGTCGTCTCCTCACTATCACCACCAAACTGCGACTCCCACTGACCCCGCCCATATCAGACTGACGGACTAGAGAACCAATCAAAAGGCAGCTTTTTAAGTTCCGCGTCATCCTTTTGATAAGTTCTATTTTTATTTACCAAAACTAGATAAACTACATGCAGAAAGTAATGGAATAAAAAATCTATATACTTAAAATGAATAAAGTGTAATACGGGTTGAAAAATAATTCAAACTAATTGTTAAACAATTTGCAGCATTTGCTATTTAAAGCATTGAAAACTTTTCTAACAGTGCTTAACGGATTTTTTTTTAAAGTTTAGTTCAAGATGAGACAAAATTACTCCTGAAGCAACACAAAGAAACAGATTAAATGTGTTAATGTAATTGATTTGAGGACGTTACGAGGTCACGCAGACATAGAGCACCATCTAGTGGACAAAACTAGGCAGCAGATATTATTCAGACGTTGAATTACTTCTCACTCTCAAACGTCAAATTGCTGCTAATATTATGGTTTGGAGGTATGCTGAAATGTTCGCAAATAGTTGGACGCGAGACGATAGGTTGGAGTATCAATGCACTATATTAAACATTCGGGGCGTGTGGATTTTATTTATTAATATTAAATAGGAGGAAGAAGATTGAGGTTTTTTGTGATTTATTCTAGAAGAAAAATATCTTTGGTCCAATACATGTGTTTACACTTCATTTCTGCCGAAAAAGAAGACAGCATACTAACAATAATAATATTTCAAAGCAAAAGTTTTATTAATACACGGTTCTTAAAATAAATAAATCGTATGACCATATTTTTGCCTAACCACACGCCGTACAAATTGAATCACGTGACGCGCTCCGTTTCCGGTTGCTATTTTGTTGTACTTCCATGTTTTGGACCTAAACAACGTCGCCAAAGTACAGTTCGGCGAGATAAACATTGACTTTTGACTGATTTGTCTCCGTGAGCAGTCACTGGCTGGTCTGCGAGCAGAAGAGGAGCTCGACCGCTGCTGTGGGACAAAATGGACCACGGCGTGGCTTTTCAGAGCAAGTTAACCTCCATCATGGAGAAACTGGCTCAGGCAGCGGTGCTGGAGATCAGCAGGGTATGGGAGGACGGCTTCGCTCTTTTTCAGGTCGAGCTACGCCGAAGACAGAGTGAAATCGAAGCCCTGAATAAAAAGTTAAAGCAGATGGAGCACGAGCGTCTGTCCGCTCCGATTCAGACCGCAAACCTGCAGCTGTCATCGTCAACCTCCAGAAGAGAGCAGAACAACAGCAAGCTGCTGCCGCCTAGCGGCGACGGTGAGAGATTCGACCCTTTTTAATGGACTCCTAGTAAACGTTTAAAAGAACAAATACGACAACAAATAAGGACAAAAAGTCCAATAAGTTCAATAAGAGAACAAACGAGAGAATAATAAATAACCAAACATACACCGGTACTTGACAACTTTAATCAGTAGGGTACAGATGATAGTTCTTTCAACAGCATATATATATTATATATAATTAATGTTATTAATGCATCTGCTCTGTTGTTTTTGTAACAGATACTGTTCAGCACTTGTGTTCCAATACTGAAAACACAGAGGTCGACGTTACAGCTATTGTTACAGCGCCATCACCAGCTCAGACACAGGAGAAACAGTTTGAAGGAGGTGACACGGATGATGATGACAAAGTGCTAATGGTCAAATTGGAGGACGAGGATGAAGACGACGTCCAGATTGTGGAGGAAGTGATGGAATCTGACTGTCATCACAGTGAGATGGACCTCACCCAGCAGTCGGCTGAGGTCCAGGAAGGAAGGGAGACTCAACAGTGGACTTCTGTTTCAGTGGAGGACAGCGACACTACGGACACCTCAGACTGTTTGTTTGAACCCCAGCAGGTGTCCCAGAGCATGGACTCAGAAATCCTACTTATTCAAAATGCCTTAGATATTTTTGACAACACGTCAGAGACAGGATATTCAGACAGATGTGTGAAGAATAAGGAACCAGGTGCATCCGGCAAATTAAGGGCTCCTTTGACTTTCTGCCAGTCTCAGCCGAGTCGGACTCCAGACGCAACAAATCTCCCAGAGAGGGGAGTGTCGCTCAGATTCCTCTCTGAGAAACAGTCGTCAACTAAGAACACGTCGGCCTTTAACTCCAACAGCAGACTCATCTACTTACACGACCCAGAGATCCAAAAAGCCTTGGCAGGTTGTCACCGCATTAAGGAGAAATGGTTCATCTGTACGTTCTGTGGGAAAAGCTTTGATCGTGTCAGCCATCTCGAGATTCACGAGCGCATTCACACCGGAGAGAAACCGTACACCTGTGACATATGTGGCAAGTGCTTTTCCCAGAGGAGTAACCTTCGCACTCACCAGCGGACTCACAAAGAAACCTTGGCCCAAAATATGGTCTGATGTCATGATGCATTTAAATGGTGTGGGTCAATTCCAGTCCACTGTGACTTACAAATAGGAGTCGTAGCTAAGCGAACATGTTGCTCAAGATCTAGAAAAACTTGAATTCCACAGCGCAATTCCTCCAAACTGATATTTCAACTTAAGTATTACAATTACAAATCAGTGCAGTTTCCCCTCCGTGGCTCAAATACACAAAACACTTTGCCTTGCTGAACACCTCTTGCAGTTGCTCCTGGCACGACTGGGTGCTGTGCCCCCTGTCTGATAATGTGATAAATGGTGTGTTCAAATCTCAGGTGATATTTTTTTATGCTGGAGACATTTCATTGTGCACTGGAGTTCTTCACGGTTGACAAGGCTTTACAAAAATGCTTCTATCGCCACCTGTTGACTAAGCAGGACTTTAGCATCACAGTAAGGTAATATTGACTTGATTCAAATAAAACAGTATATTTATTACTACTACTTTAAGGTAACCGCCTTAAGTTTGAGTCACTAACATTTACTCTGTATTTTCATATAAATTAAAAAATGTAGCAGACTGACAAAACTGTGGAGGTTTTAATAATTTTAGCTAACTTTTGAATTCTCGTGTTTAACTTTAATAAAAAATAAACAAGCGGGGAAAAGCTACTTGTTGCAAACTTCTGAACATTTGTGTGAATTAATTTGTGTGAATTATTTTTTTTTACATTTACCTGTGTCATCATTACAGTTAAAGCCCTTCTAATCATTGGTCTGATTTTACAGATTTACTGTAAGTGAAACACTAATTAAATTTGTATTAAATTCAAAGACCAGATTTCTCCGACTGTGTTCTACTTCATGCTGGTTCAGACTCCACACCACCGGTGTTTCTGTCCTTCCTGAACAGGACTGAAGATAGGATCTGCCCCACTTTGGAGCATTGTTTGCAAACTGGGGCATTACTGCTGCTGGGGGCAGTAACAGGTGGATGTGGAACTAACAGAGGCAGAGGTCACATGGTTGAAAACTGGATGAAAAGTTTGAAAAGAAGATTGTGTCGTGACCAAACATTTGTACTTTGTTTGTATTGAAAACTAAACTGTTTCTTAGGGCTCTCAGGTTTCTCAAAAAAAAAAGTCAAGGTTTCAATTCATTCTATCATTGATTTTGTGATTTCTTTTTTAATTCTATTAATATCCACCCGTCAAGTTCTCACAAAAACATTTTGCAAATTCCCAGATACCATTTTTTGTGCTTCTATTAAGGCTCCACGTGTTTCTTTGACTTCTGCTTCTGTGCTGTTCCTGTTAGAAGTTAATAGAATTTAAAGCTTCAAAAGTTTTTCATTTTCTCTAAATTTTTAACAGATGCTTAAATGAGCAATAACAGCCCGGGTACTTCTGTCTTTACGTATAAACTATATACACGACCATATACACAAACATATACACAGCTCCATCTCAGCTGAAGAGTTCATGGTTCTGACAGTTGAAGACAGAAACGCTCCTTATCCTCCTGGGCCGGCGTGGACTTTTACACCGTAAACAGGTTTTCTCAGTAAACGCTGACCGACGCCCTGATAAACACCTCCATTTCTCCTCCTGCCTTGGAAGTATATTCTTGGTACTGCAGTGTTACATTTCTCCAGAGACTTGTCTGAAGCAAAAGATGTTGGTCCAATCCCACTCGTGGTCCTATCCCAACCTTGACAAAGTTGCTGTGTTCCTGGAGGAGGAGGATCTTCTGTAAAACTGTATTAATCACTTTAGTGACCAAGTCAAGAAGAAGTTGAACAAAATGTTTTAACTTTGACTCATGAACCCGGTGCCCAGGCTGAAGCAGGTCCAAGTGGGTTGAAGGTTCCATTCCACATTCCTGTAGTCTCCTGGACAGGTTGACATGTCACGGTGGAGTCTCTGTTGCCCCTAGTGTCTGCACTGGTTGCATGCGAGCATAGGTTTATAGAAAAAATGTTGCAAATAAATGAGTGAATAAATGTGAGTGGCTCAATGGAGAGTAACAGAAAACACTGAGATGTCATCAGGTCCAGAAGAGTCTTTACATCCCACGGACATCCCTGTCACTTCCTGTCCCTCAGTTCTAATTCTGACACAAATATTAAAGACAAAAAAAAATCCAGTTCAACCTTATATTACAGTTTTTTCCCTGCAGCAAAGCCTTGTGGGAGATGCCCGAAGAACCCGACCCTCTGCTGATGTCAGTGAGTCATCGTCATCACTGCAGGAACACACACGGAGGGGGCCGGGAGTCGGGTCTAGATCATCTGTGATCGTGGGTGCAGTAGAATGGCGTTCGAGTGCGGTCGGGGTCTGAGGACTCCATTACTGTAGTAGAAGTGGTTTGTGAGAGCCTCAGAGATCTGGTAGGAGCTGCTGCTGCCGCCACCACTGTCCTCGTCCTCGTGCTCCTCCTGTGGAGAGTCCCCCACCTTGAGGTGGACCTGGTCCGGTTCTCTGGGTCCCATACCGTCCTCCAGCTGAACCTTCAGGGGAACCAGGGATGAAGGAAGACCAGAGTCCTGTCAGATCAAACAGTTAAATAAAAACATGAATTAAGGAGAATCTGATCAACGATGTTTCACTGTGGCCCAAATCATTCAGTACAAAACAGAAAACTGTAGTAGTTTCCAATTAGAGCTAGGACCTAGGGCCAGTTTGAGTTCCAGCACTGTCCACTAGGGGGCGGCAATGCACACAGAATGACAGTGTTTACCTGAAAAAACTCTTTTAATTATTTGTTAATGTTGTACAATATTTTAAGGGTACTGTCGTTTGTGCTCATCATACAACAGTGTAGACAACAATCATACAAATATCACATGTCATGTGACTCTGAGTCCCTGACGTACCAGTGACATGTTGCTGTTGCTCTTCAGGTACGACTCCACCCTCCTCCTGCGCTCTTCTTTTTCCCCGTCCAGCTCCGTCTTTCTCAGGCTCTCCATGCCGTCCTGCCAGATGACAGGACGTCCCAGTTCGTCCACGTCCACTCCCCCTGGAAGACCCCACTTGTCCACCAGTGTGGACTGGCTGCCTTTGTAGATGGGTCTCTCCTGCAGCTGTGGGAGTGGCCCCAGGCCCAGAGACAATTACAACGGGGACAAGAAGCACGTGCCGTCCTCACAGGACATTTACAAGAAAACAATGTTTCATTCTTTTAATAAAAAAGTGTTGGGTTTGTTAAAAAACCACAGATATGATAATTGATTTGAGGAAACATGTCTGCACACCTGCAGCCTCAGAGACAAAGGATCAACCTGTTCGACAGGAAACCAAGGTTTGATACAGAGGTGTGTGCAGAGAAAGGTTCTTTCTACCATCACACACTCACATAAAAACATTTTCAAAATAACCTCGACTTTATTTTCATGGTCTAACATAAATCTTCATTTGAAAAATTGAAAAAATTTTTGGAGCTGCCTTTCATCACTGCTGCTGTGTTGATGTGAACTCTCTGATGAATATATGTTTTTTTTATTTCTTTTTTTTGTATATTGTGTATACTGTGCCATTATTCCCATTTATATTTATTTATCTGAGTGAAAAACTTACCAGTGACATTTGGCTGCTTTTCATTCTGCTGTCAACTCTCAGTGAGGAGTAATCATCAGACTGAACACAGAACAGGACAAATGTTAAAAAACAAATCTGATTAAAAAAAAAAAGATTCTGTGTCGTTTGTTTTTTACCTGCACTCTTGGGTCTGTGCTAACTGAGTTCAGCCTCCTGAAGGAGGCATGTCTGGAGAGGGTATTAATTTCTTCCCTGAGGAACAAGAACAGCACATGTGGAGGATTTTGTGGAAAACGCAGAGAGGAGAAGTTAAGTTCAAACTGAAGTTCATACAAGGTCTTTGAGGTTGAACATTTTTACTCTTCAAACAGTTGGGTCCACTCACGTTTTTTCACTGAGTGCTCTCTCCAGCTTTTTGTTCCTGTGGCGATGGTGGCGGTTGACCAGCAGGACGGCGACGACCAGAACCGTGATCAGAGCTGCAGCTGAGGCACCGATGATGATCAGCAGCAGGTTGTCGTCAGCAAAGCTGAGAATTCGTTTGGATTTTGCTGAGATCACACAAAAAAATAAAATACAAAGAAAAACTGAGCTTTGGTCGCTTCATGCATCTCGTCGCCACTAGAGGGCGGCAGATTTGCACAGTATCTGTAAATAAAATGTAGTTAGTTTTACCTTTGTCTTGTGATTGCAAGAAACTGCCCTTTTTTTTCTCTTTGCAGTCACTTTATTAGGGCATTATATTATATACATTTTGTAATATGTTTTGTGTTTTTTTGACTCAAAATGCTTCAATAAAACCTGAATATTTTGTGTTCATATGTGAAAGAATATTTATGGGAAACCATTGAACAAACACAACTTTAGAATACGATTCGTATACGATCTTTCGTATACGATGTCACAAGAGGGCAGGAGACTAAAACATGAACTCGGGATATTTTTTCTTCTTTGTCTTTTTATCTAAAAATCAGCAGTTGAAGAATTATATCAATTCCCACCAGTGACACACACTTACCTGTGACTGCCAGCGTGTACTCCGTCTTCCCCACGCCCACACTGTTCTTGACCACACACTGGTAGATCCCTGTGTCATTCATGCGGAGGCTCCGCCCAAATAGCAGCTTTCCTCCAACCACGGTCACTCCGTCCGGTAGAGCCCCGCCCTCCCTGAGGAGAGTCCGAGGAAAAGAGCAGTGATTAATTTTCAGATGTGGGTCACACAGTGATTCACTGTTGAAAACGACACAGAACACTCAGTTTCAAGTAAATGAAAAAAAGTCATGAGTGAAAAGGTGGAGCCTGTGTCGCAGTTCAGGGAAATCCATTACGACAGTTGCTCAGGTTTTTGGACTGGAAACGATGACGTCATTGTTAAATTACTAGATTGATATGTATTTATACTGACAATGGATTCATTGAAACAAAGACTTTTTTTAAAATATAAATAAAGACTGGTGAACTGGTTTCAACCAGTGAGAGCTTGTTCTGGTTTCTCTGCTGATCTCTAAAATTAAACTAATCTAATAGTCTTACGTTTGTGGACAAAACAAGACGTGAACAACAGTGTTATTTGTGGTGTGGGCGACAGTCAGACAAGGGTGTAACTTTTGTAAAGGTGGAACGGGTAAAGTCATTTAACCCTCAAACTTCTAAAGCATCAAGCAAAACAAAAAAAAAAATCAGAAAAAAAAATGCTAATGTAGCAATAATGCTACATTAGCTGGACGAACTGGGCAAAATAATATCATAAAAACAGACAAAGGTTTACTAAAAAATGATGGACAGATAATAGATATAAATGACAATGAACAAAAAGTAGCTAAGGTGCTACCTGAGATGTAGCTCAAAGCTAGCCAAAACGCCTTAGAAATAATGTGACATAGCTGACAAATGCACAGGACAATATTTGAACAACTAAAAGTCAACTAACTCTGTAGTTGTTGCTGCAGTCCTCAGTCCCACACATCAGCAGACTCATAATGGAGCTGCAGGTCCACAGAGAGGCTCAGGTTGCCCCAGGTTTCACTCTGCTGCCTGAGCATCTATTTAACTGCTCCTCTGGTCCCTGATCAGGAGCCAGCTCACGTTTCTATTCTCAGAACCGCACCTAGCCTCACCAAACAACTCCCTTCCCCTTTTTTAAGTGAGACTCACGGGCGGAGATTGTGGTTGAAGGTTGAACTGGATCCAGATGAGGTGACTTCAGTTCAGCCCACGTTAAAACTCGGCTTTAACTTCATGATTCTTTTTTTTATTCAGTGTAACTGAACTCAGAGTGGGAACTCAGTGGGAGTTTTTTTTTTAAAGTTCATTAAAAGTTATACAAAATTTAACAGACCAGAGTATGGCCTGGTCTTGCTAATATATGAGAGCCAACCTTAGTGCTAAAAGTGGCTAAAGTTTGACTGACAAAAACTAACACAAGCCGAGAAATACAAACAAATAACAAAGATAAACATACAATTATAATTATTAGCCATTTCCAGACTTTCATCCAGACTTATATTTATTAATATTGGAAATGTTTTCATTATCTACTGATGCACCTGTAGCTGTTTTCACTCCAGTGATTTATTTAAATGATACATTTCTTAGTTAATATAATGATGTGTTGTTTTCCATGTTATCATCAGTGATGTTGGTGGATCAGAAATCAAGAGAGCTGGCTTTCAAAGAGATGGTTGAAGGTTTGATTCCAGCCCTGGGACAAGGTGTCTATGGGAAAAACCTTAAACCTCAGGGTTTGGTCTTAATTCTGATGGAATCACATTTGTATTAATCCATCAATAACACTGAGTCAGACCAACACCGGCTGAATCCAGTTTGTTCTGGTTCGGGGTAAACACAGTGACACATCCACACAGTGAGATTTTCCGTCACATGTTCGTGGTCTGGGATGCTGAAAAGATTTAATCCTGAATAATCTGAATTTTTTGGAGCTGGTCTCCCGGTTCAACTGTCCTTCACTCAGCACTGGTGTTGGTCGACTGTGTGCACAGTGGCAGCTGTAATGGCTCAGGCTCTAATTAAAGTGCAGACCCGGTGTTTTACCAGGTATTACGGTGATATTTAAAGCATGGCACTATGATTAAAAGCTTTAGCTGCGTCTCCTGCTCTTCCTCGCTCCCACCCTCGTGTGAAAATGCACTTTTTTTTTCTTCTTCCACTTTTTAATCACTGCGGATTGTGCAACATGACACTGCGGCTTTTATTCCAGGCTGAATCCGGCCGGCAGAAGGAGGCGCCTCCTACAGGTTCACGCACACACGTCTTTGTTGTGGGCCTGTGTGTAGGCGTT